AGTGTGCGCGCATGCGCAAGTCATAACGTGGGTACGACATGAAGTCCGCGTGAATGATTACGTAGCAAACTCCCCATTTTTAGTGAAATGCATGGGATCCACCAGATATCACTGAAAGCAGAAGAAAAAAAAATTCGAAAAAAAAGCACTTTTTAAAAACGCCAGCTGAAAAAAGCACCTTTAAAAGCTTTTAAAAACGAAATCCCCAAAAAAGCACCTTTAAGTACTTTTTACAAACGCTACGCACCCTGAAACAAATTATGAGAAGATATATTCATAACTTAGGATTACACAATGGAGAAGTTCTCCAATAATTTGATTGCACTTGGATATTTTCTTTTTTGAGCAATTGAAACTTCATGTCTATAGTGTTTGATACAAATTGATTTGATTTATATACTGGTTCATTTGATAACAAGTGAATAAAAAACTAATGGAGTGTATTTCAATTTTATTTTCATTGGTGCTACGAGCACGCTAAGGTTTTATGATCAACAACCAATTTTTAACTGTTTTGGGGTTACAAAAAACGGTGGTGAGGGTGCTAAGACAAAGGATGCCAAATTGGCGTGATATTCCAGAGATATTGACAGGGTATCTGCTACATTTTAGATTTTCAAATTCATGACTTTTCCACGACTAACTCCAAGAATTTTTCATGACTTAAAGAAGTTACTATTTTCTCCGACAAAAACGCAACAATAAATTTAAAAAAGCATTATAACATTCATTGAAATGATAATTATAACCAAAAATTGTTATACTCTGCATCTTCAAATTTATAGGTTTTAAATTTAAAGAACAGGGTAAAGAAAGAGTTGAAGCAATAAAATAGCTGGAAAAAAATACAAAAGCAAATTTCTTTTTTCTGCAGAATTATATTCTAAAGATACTTTTTTTGTTCATCAGAAAGGAAAGAAATACTCCCTATTTGTCTGTTCTAATTTCGAAATTAAAAAAGAAATTTCCAATGATTGGCTTGAAATTTAAATTGATAAATAAATAATAAAAATGTCTTAAATCACAGAAGTTTAAAAGATAATTTCTAGAAATGATGTTTTTTCTTTCACTTTTTGAAAGAACGCGATAAAGACATTTTATATTTCTAATGAAATATGACTGTAGGTCGTGATTTTGTTAGGAATTTGGAACAGGATGAAATTGAGGGGGGGGGGGGAATTCCATTTTAAAAATTAGATTTTTTGGCGACATAAATCCATGACTTTCCATGATTTTTTTAAAAAATAGTAAAAATCATGACAAATTTTGTTCAATACTGAAATTCATGACTTTCCAGGTGCGCGGATACCATATATTGAACATATAGGTTTGCCTGAACTCACTTTTTTTTTTATTCTTATTACAGTACAGAACCCGTTATCCGGAAATCAGAAAACCGGAAAACCAAAAACCGGAACGAAATTCAATAAATTTTCTCGCCATTTTTTAAAAAAAATGTTTGTTTTTTTTTCCTCATAAGATTTTACGATTTTTCTTTCTTTTTTTAAAGATGTTTACCTTAAAATTATTTTGGAAATAATCATTAGTGTATTACTTCATCTTTTTTTCTTATTTTTCAGATTATTTCCAAAATTTTTTTTTTTAGTTGGGTTTAACTATAAAAAAACGGCTTTTTGTGCGATTCAGAAAACCGGAAAAATCAGTTATCCGGAATAGCGATGGTCCCGACCGTTCCGGATAATCGGTTCCCTACGTATAAGAAATTTGTGTTTACATTTTTTTTTTATTTGAAGAGAAAAACAACATGGTTGGGTTTTTAAGGTTTATTTATTAACATGTAGCTAGGAAACCAACTTCACACATATATATGACACGATAAACAGCACATTACCATATATATGTTTTTTCAATAAAGCAATATAATATATACAAATGGAATTGTAAAACTTTTAAGAAATCAAAACCAGGTCTAAAATATGAAATGAAAGACTAAACAAAAAAAAAATACCAAAACAATAAATTTTTCAAAAACAAAACATAAAATAAAACAAATATGGATGGAAAATTTTATAAAATTCTTAAAAAAATCATCAAAAGTAAACATATAAAAAAGAATTTTAAACAAGCCTATTTTGCATTACATATAAATGTTTCTTTCAATAGTATTTGACAGTGCTAATCAACTTGATGAAGTATTTTGTTTTGTTCCCGTGTTGCACATAATATAATTTTGAAAAAGAAATTTTTACATGGTTATAGATAGACTAGATGTATAGAGCTTCTAATTACAACTTAAAATAAATTTTCAGAAATAGTTGAATTTTGACAAAAAAAATTATTTACACACATCAAGCATTCAAAATACGCAGAATGATTATCATAGTTCTGCATAGACCTCTTTTTCTTCTATATTTTATAGGTTAAAGGAATAATTAAGTAGAAAATAAACAGTAATTTATGCTTGCATAGATTAGATTAATACAAAAGACTATATTTTATGTACAAATTCACTTTCATTTAAAATTGAAACGTGGTTTTTATTTTAAATGTTTTGATACCAAAAAGGCAAGTTTCAATTCAGTGATATGCATTAATAATTATATGAATCAGTATTCCCTATAATTTTAATGTAAAATAAGACAAATTAAAATGCAAGACAATGAAAATTAATGCTGAAAATGAAAATTAATGCTAAATAGGAACTGTGGATTTCTTTAACAGATTGATCACTAAACATTACAGCAGTAAATTGAATTAATTCAATTCTTGACATTAATTAAAAGAATTGGCTATAATCTGGATCAAATAGCAAAATAAACAGATAGAAACATAGAAAAATTAATTAAATGGCTGAAAAAATATAATTTCTCGATGAACAATTTCTTTACACAAATTAGACAATCGATAAATTAATGTGAGACAAGATAAAACATTTAAATTGCTTTTAAATTAATTTAATTATTTATTTTCATCAATTAGGTAACAAATATTTGTATAATGCAGTTAGTTTTAAAGTTGTAAAATCATACAAAATATCATTTGTCACTAATACTATAAACTGAACAATAACAAGTTTTTTTTTATTTTTTTTTATGGCTATATAATATAGTAAGAGCATTTACATAATTACGGTTCAATAAAAAAGGGCCTTTGATTTTTACAAAAAGTAAGAAAATAACCAAGTGATAAAAACAAAAATTTTTCTTTTTGCCTACTTGTAAGAAAACAAACAAATAAAACGCCAGTTTTTTACATTATTGACATTAAACTCTACCATATAAATGTAAGAATAATTTATAGATGTCAAAATTTTTTATATTTCTATACTTAAGTTTTTTCATTTAGTGTCAATATTTTCCAATAAATATGGAGTTATTTTTTTGAAGGACAGTATAACCTTAAAAATCTAGATTGCTCAGGAGTTTGCAGTTTTCAAATTTCTGGAATTTACACATCTTACTTTGACCATAGGGATGTGAAAATAAAATACTCAATATCATAAATCCACATTTTCCCCAGATATTCTATGCAGGGTGCATAGCCAGATTTTTCAACAAAAAATAAGAACCTTTTAAAATAAGTACTTTTTAAGCACTCAAAAAATATTTTCAATCACTTTAAAAAAAAAAAAATTTCATAATTAGGATCTGTGCAGTAATAAAAATTATTTTTTTTCTCTCATTTAAAGTTCTTAATTTATAAACATGAGATCAATAAAATTCAAAAAGATTTTCCAAAACTTTACATAATCATGACAAAATAATTAGTTTCTGATAAATATTGCAGAGAAAATTGGGAAAAATCATGCATTTTTTGCAATTTAGAAAGAGAATCGACACTTTTTAAAAGATAGAAAATTAAGCACTTTTCACTAACTCTAAGTGAAAAAAGCACCTTTAAGGGCTTTTAAAAAGTGTAAATCAAAATTAAGCCCTTTTTAAAAAGGCTACGCACCCTCTCAATGGATACCCACATGTTTTTAAGATCCCAATATTTATATTCAAATTTTATTGCAATATGAAAATTTGTAGTTGCACAATTGAGTAATAATTGCATGCCACGAATTATTTCAACATAAAATCAACATTTCTTGCAACTTATTGTTATGTATTTTCATGGTTTTTTAAAATCCTGATTTTTGATAATATGACATTGATAGGACACGTGAATTTTTTAGGATATCAGAGTATTTCTCTCTCTTTAAAAAAAAAAAATTCTCCTCGGAAATTACAAAAAATCGTCTGGGGTCCAGATTTTTAAAGTTATACTGTGGATTAAAACAAAAAACATTTGATGGATATGTTATAGCTTTATAAACTATAAAACTAACTTCAAAGGTATTTAAGTCAAGCCAGCAGAGTTGATATAAAAATTGGAAACAATGCTTGGAGTTTCTTCTTCTTCTCATTGGCACGGCAGCCCAGGATGGGCCTTGGCCTTCTCAACAAGCCTATGCCAAGACATTCTTCCCTTAGCCAAGGTTCTCCAGTTAATTATCTTTAAAATTTGGAGTTTAATTATCTAATAAATAATGAGTTTAGAATAAAATCTTCTAGAAACATAAAGAATCATAAAAAGAAAAATTGTAAAACATAACTTTTCTTTAGTTTTTAAAAGCTATATGTAATTTGAAATAAAGTCTGAAGTTAGCAGCCCTCGACTACTGGTAAACATGATATAAATTGAACACCATAAAAACAATAAGTTTTAAATTTATGAAGTTACATAAAACAAAAATTTGAAATATATATTTAAAAAAAATATCACTAGATGAACAAATAAAATGATTGTACAAGATATGAAATATTTAAATGCACCAGTATAAAAACAAATTTCAAAAGAATCTAAGATTCTTGCGTTTGGAATTTGCTGATAATAATAATAAAATAATAACTTAGATTGTTGCATTTATAAAATTATTTTTTTTCAAGCAAGAATAAGAAAATATTAAAATTGAAATTATTGCATTCATGAGTAAAATAAGACAAAAATAAATTCTTGAAAAATGCTTCAATTAAATATTAATGCTTTTTTTTAATAGTTTTTTTCTTGTTTCGAATTCCCTGATTATTCGAGAAAGCAAATAAATTTGGATTTTGTATTGAATCAGTCTTACATAAACATGAGAAAACAATGATATTGAGATACATTGCATTAGGAATGATTTTAAAAAGGAAAAATTTAATTTTTGACATTAAAAATGTGGAAAAGGTGTGGATTTGGTGAAAATGTTATTCCCTTATCAAAAAAATATACATACAAAATAATCTGAAATGTCTCACTAATTTGCTAAAATTTTATTTTCTTATTGCTGCTTCTAAGCACAATATCTTTTGAGATTGATTGGTAGAACTGAAGTTTAACCTCACTCCTGGTGGTAAAAATTTTTTGGATTTGCTCCATTTATTTTGTTCAGGTATTTTGAATTAAAAAAAATTTTCTTATAATTATATAATAATTTTCTAATTCAATAAGGATCTAATGGTTAAATAAGTAAATAAAATTTTATGTTCTAAAATCCTGTGTGTCCTCGATTGTGCTAGTTTGAATATGTGCTCAGTAAAATCCTCTATCAAAATGGCGTCAAAAGTGGGGCTACATTTTTACCAATTAATTTTAGAATAAATTAATCAAAAAAAAGTTAAATTAAGCTTAAAAAAAGATTTTTTTTTTTTTTAAATTCAAAGCTAAACAGGATCTTTATCAATTGTGTAATTTTACTATTCACGAATTATGGATCAAAAAAGGTATTTATATAAGTAACAGAAGAAGAGGAGAAACAACCTATGCATTTTATTTAACTGCCGGTTTAGGTCATCTTTAGTTCTTAATTATGTAAACCCTAAATTCTCAAAAATGATATGACTATTTCTTTTGAATATGAACACCGTTATTTCCATAAGTTATGAAAAGTACATAAAATTGAAAAATTTTGGCAGTGATAATATGAAATATAAATATATAAAATACTAAAATTACTTTTGATATTTGACTTACTTAAAAAAACTTAAGATTTAAACTCTAGAAAGAGTTAATATTTAAAATATAAAAACGATTTTTTTGCAACATTCATAATTTCAAATAAATACAATTATTTCAAATAACTCACATAAGAAACTACCATTTCTAAATGGTGTTCTTATAAGTATCCTTTTATCTTATATACTGCATTTTTACCTAGTTATTTATTAACAACACATTTAAGGTTGATATTTGAAAAACAATTTTGTAGTAAACATTTAAAAGTAGGCAGTTAATCAGTCAAGATTAGATTTATTTGCAAATAAGTTACCTAAGCTACTAATTAATATTACTTAAAAGAATTATTTTTTTAACTGAATAATTTAAAACTCACATATGTTTTGATTCTAAAATAAAGAGAATTTTTAATACTTTTTATTTTAAATTTTCAATAAACACTTTTTTAAACATCCTGGATAACTAAAAGCACAAAATACTTAAAAGACAATTATACATTAGTATGATACCACAAGTTTTAAAATATCAAGTTGCAACAAATTTTTTTAAATACCTTTTGAGAAGGTAAAACATTAAATCAACAGACACCAGTATCAAAGCACTTATTTACCCATTCTATCTTAATTTTAAAAAAAATAAAATTGAAAAGCTTTCCACAGCAAAGGCGTTAAAAAAAAAAATTTAAAAAAAGGCCACTTGAACGTGTGTAGAAACGAAAATGTGTTATTTTAAATTTTGTGATGTGACGGGGAGAGGGTTGTTGACAAAGAGAGTTGAGACAAACTGTCTTTACAGGATTCCATGTCTAAATTGGCAGATACAGGAGGCTCCAGAGCAGTTTGGACAGTGATTTGGACATTACGGTTGACACTGAAAGCTGGGAAGAAGACGCCATGGAGATCCGTGAAGGCTATTGGTCCCTGACGCTCATCATTCACAAAGAAACTAAGTTGGTGTTGTTCTAGATCAAGAAGAATGCCTACAACAGAGCCAACTTCAATTCCTCCATCAGTTCTGTTTTCATGACAATCAGCATGCAAGAACCATGACCTCTGGTGATCAATGTACATACTCCAACCTTTATCGTCTTTTCCTGAAAAGCAGTTCATTTTTATGAGTTGGTGATCATTCAAAAAAGTTATTGACACAAATAATTGCGAAATTCAAATTAGTACTGATGTGCTTAAATACATCTATTAACAGAAACTACTACTAATACATTCTTAATTTTGGTATCTAAGCCCTAAAATTTTATAAGTCATTTAATATAAAATGACTGACAGATAATTTAATAAAAACAATTTTAACCTTTTGAGCGTTAGTTCTGGTTTCTTCCGCAGTTTTATCGACAGGCTTTCCTGCATCAAAAAATCAATTTAATCATGTTTGTCAAAATGAGAGTAGTGCATAGCAATGAATTTTTATTTATAATTTTATCCAGGGGCTCAATGCTTGGGAGATTAAATAATTTTTAGTTATAACTAAAAACTATAACAATTACAATTGAAAATATAAATTAGTAAAAAAAAAATTTTGAAATATATATATANATTTATCAAAATTCAAAGGATTAAATGGGCAGGCCACATTATAAGAATGGAGGATAGCAGGACAACCAAAAAAGTTTTCTGTGCCAGGCCAACAGGTACAAGAAAAAGAGGACGACCAAACCTAAGATTTTTAGACTGCCTTGAAAAGGACCTACAAATTTTAAAAATAATTAACTGGAGAACCTTGGCTAAGGGAAGAATGTCTTGGCATGGGCTTGTTGAGAAGGCCAAGGCCCATCCTGGGCTGTCGTGCCATTGAGAAGAAGAAGTTTGTCACATAATTTAGTCCAAAAGCATCACAACCAGATATTTCTTAATAGGATATAAATTTTAAGATAGATTAGGAATATATATTCTTAAGCTGAACCAAGAGTGTTATTAACGGAGATAGTCTAGTCATAATCTGTGAAGAATAAGCATTGGTTCAACAACATTAGTTCCTTTTTTGAAGAGGCAACACAATTGAGTTCTTATTATAAGAGAGTGTGTACGTTGAATTGGGTAACAATAAACTTACAAAGCTTCTCAGTTGAAAATTGATAGTTGTAAACCTAATATTGGGTCAGTTGTTCTATGCTAGTTATAAAATAAATTATACTGGCAACAAAGATAACTTTTAAGAATTATCCAGGCTATGACCGTTTACAATAATCCTTTTATCACTAAATTTGACAACTGTAAAAATCAAAAACATTTCATGTTAGACATACTTAATTAGAATCTAACATTTATAATAAAAAAAATAATAAAAAAAGGAAAAATAAATTAATACTCACAATTTAAGATTTATTTATTTACTGGACACAACACTTTTTATAAGTTATCACAAAGAATGAAGAGTTAACATGGTGCATAGCCAGATTTTCCGACAAAAAATAAGCACCTTTTAAGCAATCAAAAAATATTTTTAATCGCTTTCCAAAAAAAAAAAAAAATTTAATAATTAGGATCTGTGCAAAATTATTTTTTCTATTGTTTAAAGTTCTTAATTTAAAAACATAAAATCAATAAAATTAAAAAATATTTTTAAAAACTTTACATAATCATGATAAAATAACTAGTTCCTGATAAATATTGCAGAGAAAATTGTGAAAATCATGCATTTTTTGTAATTTAGAACGGCAATCAACATGGCAAAGAATTTCTTTTTAAAAGATAGAAAATTAAGAACTTTTTACTGACCCCGAATAAGAAAAAGAAAAAAAAAACACGTTTAATCAATTTTTTAAAATACCAAGCACCCAGGTTAATTTATAAGATATAATAAATTAATTCTGAATATAATGATAAATGATTTTAATAAAAACAGAATTAATAAAATCGAAAACATTTCATGTCAGACATGTTAATCAGAATATAAAACTTTTACTACATAATAGTGAAATATAAATTAATATTCACAAGTTAAAATTTATTTATTCACTAGACATAGCACTTTTTATAAGTTATCACATACGATGAAAAAGTTAATTTATTAATATTAGAAATCTATTAACATTAGAAATCAACTCCGAATATAATGATATATGATTTTAATAAAAAAAGAATTTGTAAAAATAATCATCTAATATTCATGAGTGAGCATCAAATTGTAATGGAATTTTCTATAGCTGTCAAATATATATAATTTTACTGTATCAATAAAAGATGGAAATGTAATCTAAGTTAAAAAAGGAGAAATGATGAAAGTTTGTCACAATAATGTCCAAAAATAACAATTGCCAACAAATGTGTCAGGCTAGTTTCTCTTTTATGAATACACCAGTGAATATTCCTAATTTTTTCATAATATGAATTTAAAATGTTCTTTTTCAATAAATTCTTCATAATTACTACTATACTTGTCAATATAGTCAGTATTAGTTGCCTCGTCTTCTAACAAAATCATAAATATTTATGTGAACTATTTCATAGAGGTAGAACATTACAGATTGTATTATAAGCAATATTAAAAGGTTAGACTTCACACAAATACAGAGTTATAAATTTAATAGTGCAAAAATAATTTTAGCCATAATAACAGATATAAGAGAGGTTTACCTAGCATGAGATCTTTGACAACATCGAATCGAGCAATTCCAAATGCAGGATCGGCATTGCTATCGTACCTATTAATGGTTACTTCCCAATAATGGATGCCTCTTGAAAATCCAATACTGCCCAGAACGACTCGATGTTCAAAGCTCTCACACGTAACAGTCATATTTTCATTGCTTAGAACTATTTCAGGATGAGCTGTTAATGAATCAAATGTAAACCAAGCAACTGAAATAAAAAAAAATATAAAAAAGTTATATTTATATATACAGTATAAAACTATTTGCATTATAATTTACATAATATTAGTAAGTTCTGTTTTTTTGCCAAGTCAGGGGTCTGTCTAGGTTTTTCTGACAGGTACCTATTTTGTGAAAATTTAGACGTAATTTGTGAAAAATTAAAAATTATATTAAAAAATCAACACAAAAATATGGATTTATCGTTTCTTAAGGGATACAAAAATGAAATTTTAAGACCGTTTTTCCAAAATTGAATTTGTGAAACTACCGTTTTTCCTAAAGTTGAATTTGTGAAGGTACCGCTAAACGGTAGTAAATTCGGCCTGGACAGACCCCTGCAAGTTAACAATACCAATAGCAATTCAAGCTTTTTTCTGTGCCTTAGTTAGTTGTGAGCACTACAAATGCTTATAATAATTGTTAAAAATCCAATGTTTTTTTCTTCTTTTTTAAAGAAAAGCAAGATTGAATAAATATTTTAGATTAAATTGTTTTCCACAGCTTAGGTTACCTTAAGCTGTGAACCAGATCTCTGCTTGTCCTTGTACAGCAAGTAGTGGCCATGAAAATTCAGCACAAAAAAAAAATAACAAAATCCACACACAAATTTTCAATGGTGGCATCTCTATTGAGGAAGGTTAAAATAAGTTGATGGCAAGAAACTGCACCGAAAAACAGTTCAAGAAATTATATTGCTCGTAAAATTTATAGTACACCATTAAAACATTTGTAGTTTTTGTTTAAAAGAACGAAGCTTACTTTCGTGACACACCTTTCAAAACTCAGAAAAAGCTGCATTCTATTATTTTGTTTGATAAATACAATATTTCTTTAAAATGTTCCTAAACCTTATTCTGTGCTATTTTCAACTAAATTAAATCAATACAAATAATATTAATATGAATACAGAAGCATTACAGTTAAATATAACAAATGCAGATGACAAATTACTCAAGTATGGAAAGCAATTTCACTTAGTTAAGCTTTTACAACATTATAGAAAAAATATTTTAATCATGCATACATATATGCGCACATAATAAAAACAAAAGCAAGAAGTGAAAATTGACAATGAAATTTATACTTGCCTTCAGCTGTTTGCAGAGAGATTGGTTCGCTGTATTGTCCTTCACCAGTACTATTATAAGCTTTTACTCTAGCATTATAAAAACAATTGAAATGAAGGCCATCAACAGTGCAGATAGTTTCTTTGCCACAATAAACTTCCTAAAAATCAATACACACATTTAGAAAATTTACAGAGAATAAACAAACACTATATTTACACGGAATATTATTTTATTTTACAAATCTTAATAAGGAGAATATAAAGAATTTATAATATTAAGGAGGAAAAAAAGCTTTTTTTTTTTTTTTTTTTAAGTGCATATTCACAAGCAATACTTTTTAAATTATCAATTGATTCGATAAAACATTTAACAACGTACATATTACTGATGTAGTTTATTTCTTTACAGTGTTTTCTCTGAATCTTATTGCATCCTTGATAACAGCATCTCGTAAAGAAAAAACAGGGTCCCAAAATTGAAAAGATATTTAAAATGTTCATTAAAGTTAGACTTCATTAAATTAATACTGAACTGAATAGATAGAAATATGTTGTGAATTAGACAGATATAAACACATAAATAAAACCACATTACACTTAGCAAATGATTCTTGTTAAAACTTTATTTATTATTGAACAGTTAATTAGATACAACTATAATAACCATTAAGATAATACAATGTAAAATATACAAAGCAGAGAAACTTATTAAAATAACTGATCAGAACATATTCACTCAATTTGAAATTACAATTCAAAAGTAATTTCAATATTTCTTCTCTTTAAACAATTAATTAAATAAAAAAGAAAGTTTTAAGAACTTATGAGAATATATATGAGGTCAAAATAATTATCAAAAGTAAATTAGATCCCTCAATTCACCACTTTAACAAATTGATGCGTATTAAATTGTTATTAATTTTAATAGCTTTTAATTAAAATTATGACGAGTTTAATCAAACTCTTAACTCATAAATCTAAATCATAAGATTTGTAACTGCATTCGCTAATAATATGTATTGAATAAGTGAAAAGCTCATCAATTTAGTTCTTTTTATAAATCTCAAGATTAAGAAAAGATTGAATTTTTTTTTCCCTCCATAAAATTACTCAAGAGTATGGAAAATTCTTAGAACCACAAATTTACTAAGATTAATAAGATGATTAAATACTTTGTGCAGTTAGAAGACCCTTTGGAAGCAAATTTCATGATTTCAGATCTACAAAAAAATCTTAAAACTTTATTAAAATGCCAACCGTATCTTCAGTATCTTAGAAACCGTATCACTGCAAAATTTATTCACTGTAAAAAAAATTCAGTATTTTTCTCAATTTATATTTAATTTAAATTTACAAGAAAATATTCTCATACAAGAAATTACTATTATATGATGGGAATGATTTTTTCAAAACTTTCATGGTAGTGGCAAAAGAAAATATTAAAGATATTCAATATAATTTTTACCCTGAAGGCTCCACTATTTCCATCATCCAATTCTAATATATATCCTTCCACAAAGCTTGAAGGATGTGGTTGCCAGGCAACAGTTATACTATTGTTTTCAGATGTACACTCTTCAGGAATAATAATAGGAGCACCTGGAGCTAAAAACAAAAAGGAATCTTTAATATTTCTGTAAAATTAAATAAATTCAAATAATTTGGTAAATTAATTTAGATAAAGAAATGTTAAAAAACAGTTTCAGAAACACTATAAATGATTTGAATCGCACAACACAAATGGAAAATTTAAAATGGAGTCAAATTGCCAGGTCTTAAACAAAGGTACTTATATTAGTATATTTGTTTAATCAATTTTAATTTTTATTAAATTTAAATTTCTATTAAACAGTCAAAAGTGCTTTTTAATTCTAAATAAAAATCAAACAGAAAGTTTTGGAAATAAGTAAATTAATAAAGTTAATACAAGCATGCAAAATATGATAATTAAACATAATGAAATGGAAACATAATAAATAACCTAATTGTATTCCAAAGGGTGTTATAAATAACTTAGACAAATCTTAAAATCAAATATTTTTATCGTAACATTCACTAACATATTTTGGATGATAATACATGCCCTTAGTCATAAAAGATCGTCCTAACCAAAAATAAACCTTCCAACAAGAATCTATTGTAGAACATAAAGTTAAAGACACAGAAGAATGATGTAAGGCCCATTTTCTTGAATTTCTTACTGAACAAAATTTGACATTTAATTCACCAGACTTAAATCTACACGAATTCAAAAGCTGGGATGATAAAAAATTCTAGTTCAAATAATGGAATAAAATAGAGAGTGAATGGTTGCTCAAAGCAAAAAATGTTTTAGTCATGTTTACAGCTTATTACAAAAGATGATCATTTTGAAATTGCGTAAACATGTTATGTCTTATAAATGTCTTCATGTTTAAATGAAAGTTTTGTTGTGATATTTTAAAAAGCTTAAAAATCCTGTTTTCTATTTGTCAAAGTTATTTTGTGCCACCCTGATATATGCTACATCTTAAAATAGAAAATTCAATTGGATGATTTGTCAATAAATTGCTAAATGTTTTATACAGGGTATCTGATACATTTTAGATTTTCAAATCCATGACTAATACGGAGAATTTTTCATGACTTAACGAACTTACTATTTTCTCCGCGAAGTAGAAGACAACAATAAATTAAAAATGTGTTATAATAACATTGAATTGAAATGACAGGTATAACCAAAACTGTTATACTCTGCAACTTCATATTCATGGATTTTAAATTTAAAAAACAGAGTAAAGTAAGAGTTGAAGCTATAAAAAAATACAAAAGAAATATTTGTTTCTTGTTTTTTCTGCAGAGTTATATTCTGAAGATACTTTTCTTCTTCACCAGAAAGGAAAGAAATACTCCTGATTTTGCTGTTCTCATTTCAGAATGAAAAACATTCGCCAATGACTGGCTCTCCTCAGCGAGAATTTTAAATTGATAAAATAAATAATAATAAAAATTCTGAAATCGAAAGGAGTTCAAAAAATAATTCGTTCTAGAAATGATGCTTTTCCTTTCATTTTTTAGAAAGAACAACATAATTTTTGAAGAACATGATAAAAAATTTTTATATTTTAATAAAATATGACTGAGGAATGAGTGGAGATTTCGATAAAAATTCAGATATTCGGAACACCATGAAAAGGGGTATTCCATTTTGAAAATTAGATTTTTCGGCAACCAAAATCCATGACTTTCCATGATTTTTTTTTAAAAAAATAGTTAAAATCATGACATTTCATGAAAAATTTTGTTCGATGCCAAAATTCATGACTTTCCAGGTGCGCGGACACCCTGTTTATACATTCAAATAAGCATTGACATTGTGATTTGAAGCAACAGAAAATAGATTAAGATGAGTTAGATAACATCAAGTATATTATGAAAATAAAAAAAAAGCTTAATTTAAAGTTAGATTTATAAGAGATTAGATTTATAGAAATTAGATTTATAGAAAAAAATTTATAAAAACACAACCATAAAAATGAGCCATTAACACAAGTGTAATATACATACGTTTCATCTGAAGGAATGTCATATTTTCTATAGACTGAATAACAGATTGGTGGTCAAGTGTGAGATCAAATTCCTCAGAGGTCCAAGGAGAACATGGAATATCCTGACTCCAGGTCAGGTCTAAATTTGATACCCTATGTATAAGTGATGATCCAACCTGAAACAGAATTTTCATATCACATTGAGAAAAATTACTAACTATGCAATTTATATTACCAAGTGGGAATTGCAACCAAACAGATCCAGCTACGTTACTAAGGAGGCATTGTCACTAAACAATGTAAGCTATGTCACTAAGTTAGAATTACAACCATACAATGTAAATTTCATTATAGTTAGGAGTGACAATATTACTTTAGTAAAATTATGACCACACTAAAAAAAATATCTGCAGAGCAAGAAAAGCAATAATTTAATGTTGTAACACATGTATGCAGTGTTAAGATAATGTATATATTTCACTGAAATAAGAATGTTGATAAGGTTAAAAAAGATAAAAAATAAATTATTAATAATAATGCAAATTATATGGTCTCAGTAATTACTTATAAATCAGATATTTCTTCTCAATTTAACCGGCATACATTAAATTTTTCTAAAATATCTACCATAATTGTTTTAAGCCAGATTTTTAGTCTGTTTTGTTTTAGTTGATTTAAATTTAGCTGTTTTAAGTTAAAACTACTAGATTTTCTTCAGCATCAACCAATTTCACTCCTCTGCCCAAATTTAGCGTTGGTTTAATTTTGTCTGGAAAGAAAAAATAAATCTGCAGAGCCTACTAGAGTACTGCATTAATTTTGTAAGCGGTTGATTATTTAATTAAATTTTAAAATTTTTCTTTCAATTTAAATCAAAGCAAACATAGAAAAATAAACAAATAGTAACAATTGGAGGGCTTATAATGAAACAACGTCAAACATAATAAAAAGAGAATTTAGGTTTGAATGCTTTAAAAATAATTTGTAAAATATTTGGCATATGCTTTTACACAATTGCCATTATTTCAAGGTAATATTAAAAGGAAGAAAAAAATTATAATTAAACTTCCAAACTGAAGACTTTAATTCTTTAATTTGGGATTCATCTGGTTAACCATTGTTTTAAGCTCTTCATTTGTCAAACCAAAAGGATTCGAACATAAAGCTTGAACAAAGCTAATAATAAAAGGAAAGGCATAACTGTCAAAATCTAAATGATATGTAATTCATATAGATGACACATTTCAGACATATGTACTTATCAAGGACAAGTGATTCGAAAGTAGACAGAAAAATCAATTGATAAATTTTCTAAAAGAGCACGAACATTTTATGGCATTAAGCTTGAAAGATATTTACGTTATCCAAATTTTCACTACCATTATTGGCAAAGGTACATTGTAACTAAATAACTTATGTCTAGAAAAAAATATAGTTATAACATCTTATCTTATATTAGCTTTTCTTTTCTCATTAGATTGTTTTTTGTTCTTTCACTAAAGGGGATCTAGTACAGAAGAATAAAAGCTTTCAATTTAATATTAATTTTTTCCAAAAAAACAATAGAATTAATCCTTCTCAGGGTTGGCATGATTTAAATCACTAGATTTTTTTAAATCAACTAATTTTCTTACTGAAAAAATTTATTAATTTTTTTTTTACTAAACAAAATTATTGAAATCAAATATTTTTTTATTAAAGATTATTTATAAATATATCTTTAAAGTGGTAATTTTAAGTCTGATTTCTTGATATTGAAGGTTTAATTTAGATTGGAATGGATTTTTCGGACTGGATTTAGCATTAAAAAAGTATTTCTCACGTATTACTTTATTGGAATAAGCATTTCCTATTCATCTTCTAACGCTAAATTCAAATGAAAAAGCATTTAGAATTTTATACACATTTTTTTATGTTAAACCCAAGAACGCATTTAGCATTTCTTATGTACTTTTAAAGGCTAAATCCAATAAAATAAAAATTAAATTATTATGACTTATAGTTTAAAAACAGAATAAATACACGCATACATAGGTACAAATCAAAAACCATATATTTTTATGAATAAAACCATCATTTCCTCTAAACTATTATTTATACAATTAATTTTATTTTTATTGAAATTAACATAAAATGGGTACATACAAAATACTTGTATAAATGGATCTAAGTCAGAAAAAGAGTACAAAACTGTATTTTTTATGCATATAACAGTAATAACTTTTTAACTATTAATTCTATAGACTTGGGGACTTTTTTACTTCTTTTTTTTTCTTCAAATTCAGTGAGCTACGTTTGAAACAATACCTCGCTTGTCTAGATAGAGATATTAAGGTTTCTAGTCTGAATAAGAAGCATTTAGAATTATAATATATCATATTCTCTTTATCTAAAAAATTTGTTTTTACCTATAGACTAGTTCAAAGAAGCAGTATCGGTTAACCATCAGTTTTAACTAGTACAAATATATTGACATTAATTTTTTTATTGTTATTATTATTTATTTTTTAAAAGATTACAGTATAGTAGTGGCTGCCAAATATCAAAAATTCAATAGGTCAAAAAGTGGTGACTCAGATTTTTTTCCCGCAAACACCAAAAATTTTTTTTTTTTTGAATCAACTATTAGTTCTGATTATTTTTTTATTTATTTATCTTGACTAAAGTCTAATGTAAATTACAAAGAAAAATAAAACAAGACATGCATATTACTTTTACTTGTTTTATTATTAAATTTTATTTCACATTTCTAATGTTTAACACAAAAGGTAATTATTATTTTTATCATTCTTGAAGTATATTTAAATATATTTCCTTATATTATTTAAAATATATTTCTTTAAAAGTATATTTTAATTCTAAAATTAAGTATGAAATTAAACCCCGTTGAATACAACTTTTACAAAAATGTAACTTTCTTTTTAAAATTAAAATTTAAACCATTTGAAGATAGATTTTTCCATTTATTAACAGACATAAAACCGATTTTCCACTTTTGTAGACAAAACAAAATTAGCTCCCTTAATGAGGTTTATCTGTAACACTTCCTTAAATATTTAATTTTCTACTTTAAAGCTGATATGAATCCTGTGTTATTAATCTGACAGTGCTAAAATGAATTATTAGGTAATAAAAGCATAAACATTTAGTAATGCTATAAGTTTGTTTACCTGTAAAAATGTTGAAGGATCAGTTTCTTTCAATGCTTCAATACAAAATTGTAATACTCCAGTAGTTTGCTGCAACTTACTGGTACATACAGCTACTTGTTCTTTTAAAGATTTCATCTTATAATCTCTTTCTTTTCTAAGAAAATCTATCAGCTGTTGCTTACGGAGATTAATGAGATCAATAAGTGCATCACATTCGCTTTCAATTGTATTCTCTAGTTGAAGGCAGTTTTCCTGAAAGAAAAATAATTTTATTTAAGAGAAAAGAAAAAAAAAACAGTTTCATCAAATACGGGTTAATTGTTAGAAAACAAAACAAATATATATACATAAAATTCAGGATTATGAATGCTTTAAAAATGAAAAATAATAATGTTGCATTTTCTTAGTTAACTGTAAATGTAGGCAATAAATCGACAAATTTTCAAGATTGCTATTTGCAGATACCTACTGTTTAAAAGTAATATAGTGTCACAATAGTTTAGGTACACATAAAACTTTTCTGTACACTTTAAAATAATGCATATTATTTTCTAATAATTTCACTTAAGGCATAATAAATAGATAGAAAAAGATACCACAAAAAAAGAATGCTTAAAAAAAAAGGAAGGAAAAAATATCAACATATTTACCAAATTTAACTGCCACAAAAGTTAAGGGGGAAATGACAATATTTATTCAAAGAAAATAAAATCTGAAATTCGAATAACTGATTTAACAATCATACTTTTTTTAAGCAATTAAAACATAAGTTTTTCACTGTAAAGACAAGATTTTACTTGCTTTTTATTTAGATCTATATTTAGCCATGTTGTTGGAATGGATTCCTTTGATTACAGTACTGATTTGACAATCATACTTTTTTTAAGCAATTAAAACATAAGTTTTTCACTGTAAAGACAAGATTTTACTTGCTTTTTATTTAGATCTATATTCAGCCATGTTGTTGGAATGGATTCTTTCGATTACAGTACTGCCTTCCCTTCTAATTTACGGCTAGTAATATGATGCCTCAAACATTTTCTACGGTTTCAGATCAAGACTAAGAGAGGATTGGTGAGTTTAAAACTACTATATTTTTAGCTCTAAGTCATTATTTTGTAGATGTATATTTACGTATGCTGCACAGTCTTGATGAAAAACACCACTTCATCAAAACAATATACTAATTTTCTTCCAATGTATTCTATTTTAGTAACAACAAAACTGTTATTTATCAAATTATTATCAGAACTACTCCTACCTAACATACAAAAAAGTTTTTTTCTTACACAACAACTAAGTGAAAGAACCACCTAATTCCTAGCTTATTTGATTGATCCACATTTTTGCAGTAAAAAATTAAACTAATAGTTGATTCCAAATTTTTTTTTTTATTCCGTTTTAAAAATTAGATTTTTCAGCAACCTAAATCCATGTTTTTCCATGATTTTCTTAAAAAAATAGTTAAAATCATGACATTTAATGACAAATTTTGTTCAATACTGAAATTCATGACTTTTCAGGTGCGTGGATACCCTGCCTATACTTTCCTTGTAAAATATTTGTTCAACAGAATATTGTAATACCCAACTGGGTAATAAATCCACATTTTACTGCTTACTCGAAACTGGCCAGGTAGCAAATAAAATTTTTACTAGGAACTCAGAAGTGGTCTGGTTAAAGATTTAACTTTCAAAGCGCTCTTGGACCTGGCACATCTTTATACACAATCAATAAATAATTAATTAACCTGTTAATTTAGTACTTTAAATGTACTACAAAAAAATTTTAAAAGTATTATGATTTCCTGAATATCATCTAAGGTTTTTGATGCTTGCCATATGTAAAAAAAAATAATAATAATTCTACACTTATGCTTTGAAGTTGAATCACAATTGGAAGGTTAAGAACTAAGAAAAACTTTAATATACAGATAAATTTATATAATCAAAAACAAAATAGGCTGCTTATACTCTTGAAGTATAAAAATGCTGAACTAAAGTTACAAAAATTAAAGCCAAAAATATATTTTTAAATCGAATTCAAGTCGATTCTCCTTTTTCATTATTAATAGACAGAAATATCCTTCAAATTTTGACTTAATATTGTTTGAATTGAAATACCTAAAACATTTAAAGTATAATCAATAATTTTAAAAAATAAAAGAACTTTAAATACTTACAGAAGTTTTTTCTGTCATACACTTTAACCTTTGAATAAACTCAGTTGTACCTTTTGCTTTCTCAGACAGAATTTGAAGATTTTGAGACAATTCAGTCTATAAAAGGAAGATAAATTAATAAAATAATAAAGAATCTAGTACAATTAATAGCAATAAAATAAAAATTTAGCTTTTAAAACTAGCTACATCTGGGGACAGGACAAGCTGGTTCGCCTTTTTTAACAAATAAAATTTTATATAGTGAATGGTTTACAATAGTTTAGCCAAATTATAAGAATTTATTCTTGCACGAGTGACAGTAGTTTTCAATTTGCTTGTTTTCAGCTCATTTACATAGCGGATAAAAAAAAAAAGTTTAATAGCTCAATGATACGTACTAACAATTTTTAAAGAAAATGTTATTTAGATGAAGGGTGTTTTCGAAGGACACCAAAACAAATGAGTAATCTAGTTAAAAACTAACACTGCATGTATCTGCAACCAACATTGCGTTCATCCTTTTAAGACAATCCTGTTATTGTAATAGGTAGTTTTCACTAAAAAGAAAATCTTCACTATTCTTCTTAGAACATTTCGAATTATACAGGAGTATGCCAATCTGGAAAACTCATTTTAAACATACTTTTTATTTATTGACAGATTTAAAATGTATTTTAAATCATGCAATAAATAAAAAGTAATATAAATCAATGGTGCTTTTGAAGAACTAATAGGCAACATATGGAAACAAATTAGCTTACGTTCAAATCAAAATGTATGATTAATTGACAAAATGAGCTTCTGTTTACATAAGTTTATTTATTAAATCCTAGGAGTTGAGATGTAGCCAATCTAAGCCTCTATTAAATGTGAGCATTCAAACATAAAATATTTAATATGTGTAGGTATAATACAGATTTCTTTTCTATAATTTTCCCATGCCCTTTATATTTTAAAAGATAATATCTTAAAAAATATGCACAAGGGTTGAAGTTTTTGCCAGGGTTGAAGTTTTTGCCGGCAAAAAGGTTTTTTTGCCAGGACAGTGGCAAAAACTTGGTAAAAACCGGCAAAAACCAAATTATCTAAATTGCTGATTAAATATTATTACAAAATACTTGAAACAAATTTAAATCAATCATAAGGAGGTAATTGTTCTCNAGTTCATTTCACTGGAAAAAAAAGAATAATCACAAATTTTCCAATCAATAATGTTTTAAACTACTAAAATGATATATTATTACATTATCATTTAATTATGGAATAATAATTTTGTTAATTTTTTTGTAATTATTTATATTTATAGTATATTATTCAATTTTAGGAATAATTTTGTATCAAAAATGTGTTTTTGTCCTCTCATCTTGGAAAATATAGGTTTCTGCCACTTTTTTCCAATTTGCTTGGCAAAAACCTGTTTTTGCCAGGACAGTTTTTACCGGTATTTACCATGGTTTTTTCCACCTGTGGCAAAATCTTGCCAACCCTGAGCCAATCTAAGCCACTATTAAATGTGAGCATTCAAACATAAAATATTTAATATGTGTTGGTATAATACAGATTTCTTTTCTATAATTTTCCCATGCCCTTTATATTTTAAAAGATAATATCTTATAAAATATGCACAAGTTTTTTCAAGTTTTAGAACATACATAGGAATAAAGTTTATTGGAGAGTTTAATTTCACAACAAACTAAATAGACCATACCTAAAGTTCTTAGCCGAACAGCTAATAAAAGAATTGTAATAAGCAGCTTCAGAAATTTAAAAAATAAAGTTGCAAAAAATTAATCAATCTCTACAAATCAATTTATAGAGCAAAACCAATTAGCACACTTGACAAAGTTTCCCTGAAATCTAGCTCTCTTACTCAAAATACTAGAATTGAGTGACGTTTGAGAAATTGAAGCATAAAAAAAAAACAGATTAAACAAGAAAATTTTTTTTGAACAAATGAAACATAGACCAATTTTTTATATTATCATAATATTTTTTGTGCAGTTTATTATTCAAGCAGTTAGATTTCTTTTTATTATCATGTGATATTATAGTTAAGGATAAAACTAATGAAAAAAATATGAAAATAGAAGAAACACATTTTATTAAAAAGGCTCAATTATTAACAAATATTTAGGCAAAGGTAAATGTTTTCCAAAAATTGTGCCAGAAGATATCTGGTTCCTTTCAACCCAAGTGGAAGAAGGTCTTTTAAAAAGAAATATCAAATATTAAAACAGTCGACAATTGCAATATAATTTTCAGCAGTAATTTTTAAGCTACTTCATACAGTAGAATGGCGATTTACGGAATCGTTCAAGAACCATGTGATCATAAAAAAGATTATTTAAAAATTACTCCTTCATTTTCAGAATGTCTAAAACGGGTCGAAAAGTGGCTTCTTTTGTCTTTCAGTGACTTCAAAAAAAACCTCATGCTTTTTTTCGTCCAGTTTCAATGTGGGTGGTAAGTAGTTTCTAATAAAAGAACAGGTTTCTGGTATAATTTTAAAAAAAAGTTTTAAACTCGCCATTTGCAATATGTTATAATAGGTACTAATACAAATGCCAATCCTAAGCCTAGAAAAAATGTGAAGGAAAGATATCCGGATCGGTTTAGTCTCGATTGGTCCGTATAATAATCATTCTATTGTACATTATTTTTAAATAAGTGAAAATTAAAAATCGGCAACATTTTTTCCCATTGTATTTTAGCAATAAATTTAATAAATTTCGCAAGAAATAAAGATATCGAGTTTCGCAATATCTAATGTAAAAGAATATAGTAAAACTTAACTTTATACAAAGAAATTTTAAAATACCACAACCAAACTTAATTAATAAGTAACAAATCACATAATAAACATATTCCCGACTAAAAACCCACATTAAATTCACAATTACAAATAAAATACTCATATTTTTATAATTAAAATTCATAATAATAAGTATGTATAAATATTGAGTATGAATACTTAAATACACTCGTAAATAATATGATCTACTGGTTTTTAAAACTATTATAAAAACTATAAGCTTTTAAGTAGTTACTATATTAAATTTAATTTAAGCTATTCTTATATTTTTGGTAAAGAACTGTATTGGTTAATTTTTCCCTTTGTTTAGTTTTTTCCAGGGTTTATTGGAAGAAATAAGTTTCTTCCAAACAAAATACCAATCATGAATTTAAACCATATAACAATTAAAGTGACAGAAAAAAATATAATTCAGAAACTAAACAAATATTTGTAAGAAATACAAAAAATATTTTTCAATATTTATAAGTTGTAATTATAATTTATTGTGAGCTATGATTTGTTTTTAATGTATCTGGAGTAAAACTTTTGTCAACAACAGAAACTATGCTAAATTAGTATGAATTATTGATAAGCTGATTTTGCTCTTCAAATGTAAGACACAGAATATTGTTATATAGAACTTGACATTTATTCATTTTCAAATATTTTTTTTTTACAAGAACTTATTTTAGCACGATAACTAATGCTTTATAAAAATTTGTTTAACGGGTAGTAGTGGTAGTACATTATTTACGTCAAACTCCACAATGGAATATTGGCAATGAAAAACATCCCTTAGGAAGATCCGAAGACATGCCATCACAATTTCGATCCTCTAAAAACGGCATGGCAAACCTGCTTTGACAGCCTGAACTCTCAGTCCCTCTGTAAGCTGATCAAAATGGTCACTCAATTGCTTACTAGAAGCTGAAAATAATGCTTAAATGCAGAGATCTACTAGAAACTACGACTTTCGATTAGTCCACTGTGGGTCTGTTTATTTGGCGTACATTAATAACATGAAAAAAGTACTTAAACATAAAATCTTAAAACTAAATATTTTATAAAATATACAGTTTAGAGACATTCAAATTTTGCATAAAAGCCAAACCTGCTAGCTTGAGCTTCTTTTTTACAAACTTTCAGTAGAGTTGACGAAAGAAAAAAAAAACATTATTAAAACCACCGTAAAACTTTTTTTAAAAAAACATTACTAGTTAAAATTTTTTGATTCCCACCCCCCAGGAATATAATAAAAAAAATTAAAAAAAAAAAAGAACTTTCAAAACATAGAAAGTTTTAAAAAAATATACTGAATAAACTACATATATTTGTAAATTAAGGGAAATAAATATAATGACTACAAATAACATAAAATTAAATTTTGATTGATCTATGAAGAAAGTTAAAAATTCTTGTTTTTATTTTCTTATCTGTCTTTAGCCAGTTGCAATGCATATATGCATACAGCAGGATTGACAAATAAAAAAAGTTGATTTTTAATTTTATTTTTTAGAATTAGATTTTTTTACACTTACAAATCAAACAGAATCATAAAATGAGTTAATACTCATTATTATTCAAAAACAATATTACAGTTAAAATAGTATAAATATTTATTACTAAAATGGTTTTAAATTATTATTCAATTATTGAAAAATGATCATTGAATAAATGTAATCCGTTATTTTTTTCAAGGTTAGATTAATAATTAATGTTTAGGTAATAAGCCATAAGTTTCTAAAATATCGTGAATCGGAATACATTCTTCAAAATTTTAACTTTCCTGTAGTTCATTTTACAAATAGAATTATTTAATACATTGATGAAAGAATTACTATTAGATAAAAAAATAGACGTCATATGAAAATTACGAACTGGCTTGACCAAAAAGTTAACTGACCCCAAACCAGAGTTTAGTGTTCATGTTTTTTTTCCTCACTATTCTCATCCTTAGTTTCTGTTCCATAATCTTACAAATATATAAAGTAGGGAACCGATTATCTGGAACGATCGGGACAATCGCTATTCCGGATAACTGATTTTTCCGGTTTTCTGAATCACTACAAAAAGCCGTTTTTTCATTGTTAAACCAAACTAAAAAAAAATATATTTGGAAATAATCTTAAAAAGAAGAAAAAACGATGAAGTAATACACTAATAATTATTTCCAAAATGATGGTAAGGTAAACATCTTTCAAAAAAGATAGAAAAATCCTAAAATCTCAAGAGAAAAAAAAAAAAATTTTTTAAAAATAACGGGAAAATTTATTGAATTTCGTTCCGGTTAAAAAGTTTTCTCGTTTCCGGATAACGAGTTCTGTACAGTATAACAAAAATTATATATGATAAATATTATACATAACACATACAGTACTAGGACGGACACAAATATTTCTAGGAATATTGGTGATGGTGGCAGAGCTGTCCCAACTTAAAGTTTTATGAAAAAAAGGAAATAAATAAAGATAATTGTGAGGTAACTTAAGATTGTGGAAGTATAGTTGCTTAAATATCTTTCAATGTAGGAAATTAATATCAAAACTTATTAATACAACTTTAAGGTGTGCAGTCAAATTATTAAACAAAAAAAAGCACCTTTTAACCCCTTAACGATCGATTAATTTTCTAGAAAACGGTCATAAAAGTGCCAATTTTTTGGCATTTGTATTCGTATTTGATTAGAGCTGCAACTAGTTCAAAATAAACCAACTACCTACAATTACCTTAAAAATATACTGGTACTGCTATCAGGTGTGTAAAATGAGAAATAAAATGTTTTCGGGGCAAAAGAAATGAATTAGTTTTATTCTTATTGGCACGTTACTACCGAACACTCCGGCCCGTCAATATCAGGGGAGCGAGAAATAGCGGACGAAATCTCACCCCATTATTTTCACAGCAGCGAGAAGGAAGGGGTTAAGCACTCAAAAAGATTTTTAAGCACTTTAAAAAAATATGATAATTAGGCAGGGTTGGAAAGTTTTTGAGAATTGACTGTTTTATCTTGTTTTAACCGTCATGTCAAAAATAAAAAAAACTTTCGGCATAGTATTTGGAAATTGTCAAAAATGATGAAATTTTGAATCATGTAAAACGAATGGCGTTTTCATACGATACGGACTGAAAATACGCCTCATAAATTGGGATTGAATTAATTGTGAAAACGTTGAATAGAATGATGTGAACTGCCCTTTTTTGCAAAATTCGAAGCGAAAAACAACATAGTGAAGGAAAAATCTCATTTTGAAAAAGGGAAGCACTTTTTAAAAACACCCAATGAAAAAAGCACCTTTAAGGGTCTTTAAAAAAGGAAAATCAAAAATAAACACCTTTAAGCACTTTTTAAAAACGCTATGCACCCTGAACTTTTAGTCTTTTGCGAAATATAAAGAGCATTCACAAGGATCTGTCTAGGTTTTTCTGAGAGGTACCTATTTCATGAAAATTTAGACATAATTTGCGAAAATTAAAAATTATATTAATAAATCAACACAAAAATATGGATCTATCGTTTCTTATGGGACACAAAAATAAAATTTTAAGAAAAAGTATTTTGTGAAACTACGGTTTTTCCTAAAGTCGCTGATCAGTGAAGCTACCACAGTAATAGAAAATTTGGCATGGACAGACCCCTGATTCAGGAATAAAAATAATTATTAAAGATACTGATTTGTTATCATACAGCATCAATTAATGTTTACTTAAATAAATCACATACATACAAGGTAATTTTCAAAATCAAAAGAGCGACACAATATTGGCAATTTAATTGATGAATGAATGTCGATTTTCAACATTTACCTTTTGAGCTTTACACATAGAGCCAAGTGCTTGAACATCATGACTCAAATGCCTGCCTTCTTGTAAGCACAAAACACAAACAGCTACTTTACAAAGCATGCAGTACATACTGAGTGCTTCTTCATTATGATCCGAACATTTCGGTTCTTTGTTTTTATTTTTGGCCCTGAGGGCAGCTTTACCCTCGTGTGGATTGACTAAAGTATGTTTGGCTAGTGGTCCCCGGGCGGGGTGACAATTATCGCGACACACATTGCAATAAAATACTTCACATTGTAAACACATCACAGCCGCTTCTTGCGGTTCATCTTCGCACAACTGGCACTGCACAGCGAGATTCCTGCTCTCGCCGTACTTATCCACTATGTTCTGTAAAGCGCGATTTTTAGGAAGATTGTGTACTCCATTATCATCGAAATACACAGTTTTTTGACACACGGGGCAGCTCAGAGACAGGGCACTACTGTGTAAAGGCGGTAGAAGAATACCCTGACTCGGAGTACCCACATAACTGTTTGGTCTGCTGTTACAAACGACACCGCTATCTGTTTCACTGACCAAGCTCAATTTATCGACATCAGGGCAATCAGGAGGAATATCATTCAGATGATTTGCATCTTCCTGTGTCGCTTGGTTCACTTGCTGTGCGGGCTGCTGGACATGTAGAGCACAGTTTAAGCACAGGGAATGATAACAAGGTAAAAGCACCGGATTGCTGTAAAAATGTTTACACAAGGGGCACTTTAATTCATCCTCCATCATTTTGCTTTATTTTAGAATACATAAACAATATAAATACTCGGAAATCGCCATTATCACGGGCGAGGCAAGCACCAGAATCCAGAATGCTCGGCAGAGCAGCACTCGACTAGAACTAGAGGACGCTATATTCGGTTTCGCTCTATTTCGACAGAAAATTAATTCACGCAGCTCAAATCACATCACTGTTGGAAGAAAAAAAGTACGTTGATAAATTCTAGTCTTTATTTGAATTAATCCTTGTATAACGTAAATTTCAAATAAAACGAAAAAGCTTTATTGAAACATTTCGTTTCGTTTAACAAAAGACTCTCCACCACAATCTTTCTTCATCACTCTGATGTTGACAGTCCATGCTCCAATCACAACTAGCCTTTTAGAGTTGCTCCGAAAACGGTGAGTCACACCTTTCTTGAAAAAGAACAGATACTTTAGACCCGTTAAGGATAACAGTGATTCAAAATCGGTAGTTCAAGCGGTAAAACTGGATTAAATTTTCTTTCTCTGTTTCGAAATGTTTAATTCTTTATACTATTTCCTTCAAATACTTAAAGCTATTAAATAACTTAACAAATGCTAAAAATAAATTAATTACTTAGGGGTAGACCATATTAAATGTACTATCGTATATATATATTTTTTTAACCTTATAATGAAAAATAATATTTTGTTATAATTTTTTCTATATAATGAGCATTACTTATTACTGATAAGTAAGGCCCGGATTTTGATGACATTTGCATTTTTTTTTGAATTTTTGGACATTTTTTGAGATTTATAGGGCATTTTCTTTAATTTTTGGGGCGTATTTTGTATTTTAAAGCATTTTTTAAATTTTTTTGTTAATTTTTTGTAATTTTTATTATTTTTTATAATTTTTTATTATTGCACTGGCTTCCAAACAATGAAGAAAATCTGTAGAATATTAACAGGTGAAGCAACATCTTTTCAAATTGAAGAAGAATTGTCAGTAAGTGTGACCGTCCTTTTCAAGTACGCATCAATAACATCAGTAGACGTTGAAAGAAGCTTCTCCTGGTATAAAAATTTGTTTTCAGACAAGAGACGCTCGTTTACATTTCAAAATATTAAAAAAAAAATTTATAATCCACTGTAATTCTGATATTTAGTAATATTATGAGATGGAAGTTGTTATATTCATTTAAGTTTCTATACAAAATGAAAATGTTTTGGAGTCAATATATTTTCCTTTTTTTTTTTTATTTTAGGATTTAAAACATATTTTTCAAACTTTAATGAACGTAGAACAAGTATTGCATTGCTTTATATTTTTTGAAACGACTCATAATAATTTTAAAGAGTAAAACATTGTTTTAGTTCAATATTTTTACTTCTATTTAAGTCATGTCATAGGGCATTTTTACGCAATTTTCGCATTTTAAGGGCATTTTTTGCACTTTTAAGGGCATTTTTTGCACTTTTTAAGGGCATTAATTGAGATTTTTTAGGTCATCAAAATCCGGGCTCTACTGATAAGTATTATTATTATTTTGTGTTGGTATATTGTTATTTTTTTTACCCAACAAAGAGACAGATTGTAATAAAATACTACTGAATAGGAATAAGTTAAAAAAGAGGAAAAAATATATTTGTTAACGGAATTTAATATAGTATAAAATTATTGAAATAAGTATTTATAATTTATTTTAATGAACGAAAAAATTTTAACACACTTATTGTCTTTTCTTGGATGAATGTATGATTTATAGAGCTTTATTTACTTACGAAGCAATCACAATGAAAAAAAAAAAGAATTTTTAAAAATTAAAATTAATTTTAAAAAAATTTTTAATCAATTTTAATTCTTTTTCTTATTTTTTCATAAATACAATCAGCTTATGAGTATACACTAAAAATCTTCCAACAAATATCTTAAAGAATTGTTCCGTAAGAATAATAACATCTAGCTCTTTTCCTGGAATTGTTTAAAACATTTTAACTCTGCTTTTAAAATATTTATTAAAATTTAATTTTTCATATCAAATAACATTTTTCTTATAATATTCTCCTAAAATTTGGAAAATTCATTAATAGTTTTTATCTTCTTCTTTTTTCATGTTTAAACATTCTTTTGACTATTTCTAACATCCAACGACCACAATCTTGACAAAAAATATTGTCGGACTAACCGTGAGAAGTTTTCCAGAATTTTCTCCGAGTGTGCCTTTGACTTCTAGATTCAGTTAAAAATTATAAGGTATATATTTTATTTTAAGACTATATATTTTATTTTAAGACTATATATAATTATTTTATTAAGACTATATATATATATTTTATTTTTATTTTATTCATTGAACAGCCGACCCAATTCTGAGTATACGACTATCAATAACTAGCTTAACCCCGCCCCGCCCCCGTAAGGGGAACTCCGAAAGTTCGAAGTGCGCGCAACAATTCAATCACATTAGCAAACATATTCAAAATTTTCAAATTAGAGTTTTAACAAATAGGTAGAATGGGTTTACGACTATCAATATTCAACTCCATAGCCTTGTAATTTTGAACCCAATCCAGAAGACAGGAGAACTCCTGGATCAAGTAGTGGGAGAAATTTGCCTTCGTGAAGGACTTTTTGATGGAACTAATCCGCATTTGACTTACACGGCAAGGAAAACCACGAAAATCTCCCATGGTTAGCTTGACTGCAAAGGGACTCTAACCCAGATCTGTCTATGTTGAGGATACTTTACGTTAGTACTGTGGATGGTGCGATCCGGATGCGGAATTCGTATCGACCAGCCATCGCTGGGATTCTAACCTAGTTCACTTCATTGAAAGGCGAATGTTCTATCCCCTGAGCCACCACGACACAATTTTAGTATCTTGATCCTATTAGCTTTGCTAATCTCTGGGATATTTTTCCATGACTGTTAGATCAAGTTTAGCCTATCTTTAACCAGCATCCTCTATATTTATTTTGAAAATCCTGCTAAACGTCAATGCGGAAAAAGCTACAGTTTTGAGAAACTGAAAAGCTTCTGTGGTCTAATTTTTTAATATTTAAAAACTTTCTCCCATGCTGCATTAGCTGGGCTCATAAAAAATTGTAAAAAATAATAAGACATTGATTTTGATATTTGTCATATAGTAGGAAAAATATCGCCAAATTGGCGATTTTTAAAAAGGTTTAGTAAGTTTTAAAATATTTTAATTATTTTCATTTATCCGTTCAAAGGCCCAGATTTTTTCTTAGCGGTAAAATTGTAAATAAATTGTAAAATTATATCTTTGCTTCAAGTGTAAGGCTCTTAAACCATTTTTTATTTTGTTTGGCGCAATGACTTCAAAAAACCATGTTTCCTTGGAAATTTTTTTTCGCCGTCTATTCAGTTTAGCGAAAATTATAAGCAAGGTAGAAGAAATATGATCTTTTGCAACCAAGGAATCAAAAATAGCAAACAGAAATCTCATTTAAATTTTGAATAAGTATTGGAAAAATTATCGCGACATTTCTCCGATACTGATTCAAATTATCACGATATTATCGGTGAAATTATCATTTGAAGGTTTTTTGATTTGAAGAAAAAAACTAACCCCTTAAGACTATTACTTTTTTGTGGCCACATACTCTTATGACTGAAGATAATTTGTTCGATTTTTTTTAAATTTCGAATTAATTTAAAAGTTATCAGACTTTTTTTCCTGTATTTTTTTATGTTATCTTGGGAGGTTATATTGAATATAATATATTCATACTTTTCGTAATTTGAACGAAAACATTATCGTATGATCTGTTTTCGTTTTTAAAAGAAATTTCTTCCCCCTGGTTTCATTAGTTCTAGTTCAAAAAAATTTCTTTTCCATTTCTGTTCTTGTCCGCTTCTCCTTTCTATTGTGGTGAGGTTTCTATTCAATTATACGAAATTTAAATTTTTTAACCTAAATAAGTTATTTTAATTTTAGTATATTTCAGGTCAAGTTTCGTAATTCAAACGCATTAACAGCCGGATAAAAATCAAAAGAGTAGATTTGACTTCTTTTCAATTTGAATTTCTATTTTGGCATTAAGATTTGAATTATTATTTTGTCATAATTGGAATTCTCAGTTTTTAATTTTATTTTAGTAATTTAAAGTTATTTAATTTCGAGGCTGGAATTAAAAAAATTAATAAATAAAAAACAGGAATAAGGCTTCTTTTTCTATCTGATTTTTTTTCTTCATATTTTGTTTATAAACGTGTATAAATAATATAATAATTCTATTTTGAACTTTTTAACGTATGTACTTTAATGGTCATTTTAAGATAAGTGAAATGAGCGAGCGAAGCAATTTGAGACAAAACGCAAGCAGTTTCGAGGGTTGGCAAGCGATAGTGAATGAACAGGAAGTGTAATTTCAAATATAATTTTACTAAGAAAACATTAGTTTCAGACTGATTTTATCTAAAAAGATGATGTTTTTTTTCCCGCCGCGTAGTTCAGTTTAGCGAAAACTATTAGCAAGAAAATTATGATTTTCTTACAACCACGTTTTGTATGTTAAAAAATGTGTAACGCGTCTCTTTTAAATTTCGAATTACTTTTAGGATAATTAAATAGTTTACATTGAAAGATTTTCGGTGTAAAAGTGAAAAATTAACTACCTTAAAATAATGTTTTGTAACCGCGTAGACTTTTGATTAAAGTATAAAAAGTTTTTTTTAAAGATAGTTTCAGAGTTATTAAATTTTAAAAATATTTTTTATTAAACACCGAATTGTTAATAAAACTGGGCATTTTCCAAATCTTTTGGAAACAACCAAAGTCAAATATTCTCCTTTATGTGTTTTTTTCAAAATTATTTTAATTAGACTTGGCGTTAATATTTATATAAATTAATATCAAGAGCCCTTCCTCATAGTAAACCTTCATAGTAGCCCTTCCTCATGTGTCTGACGTGAGATCATCCTTTCATCAGTTACCATTTTGGCTTTTCGATTTGAATTGCTACTTTTTATTCTGAAATTATGCAAATTTTACATTTAGTATTTTAAACTTATTTAATCCCAAAGAATGATAAAGAATAAAGGACAAATAAATAATAAAGAAATCAAAAGTTACGCTTTTTTAATGCGAAATTCCTTTTATTTTTTCTTTGCTTCTAAACGTGTGTGTACTAATAATTTTATTTAGATTTTTTGAACATTTATAAGTCATTTTAAAACAGTCAAAATGAGCAAGAGAAGCTGACTAAAGTTGCGAAACGATCTGAAAAAAAGAAAAAAAATACGAAAGCAAATCTGAGGGTTGGTGAGTCATGGAGTGAAGAGCAGTTATGGCTTAGGGGATAGAACGTTCGCCTTCCAATGAGATGAACCGGGTTCGAATCCCGGCGATGGCTGGTCAATACGAATTCCACATCCGGGTTGCACCGACCACAGTGCTGACGTAAAATATCCTCAGTGGTAGACGGATCATGAGTTAGAGTCCCCTTGCCGTCAGGCTAACCGTGGTAGGTTTTAGCGGTTTTCCTCTCCATGTAACGCAATTGCGGGTTAGCTCCATCAAAAAGTCCTCCAAGAAGGAAAATTTCTCCCAATACTTGATCCAGGAGTTCCCTTGTCTTTTGGATTGGGTTCAAAATTACAAGGCTACGGAGTTGAATATGAGATTAGTAGTCGTAAATCCAAAAATTGGGTATTTTGTTCTACGACGGTTATAAAATAAAAAACGCATGGGAGTGTAACCTTTAAACTATATAAAATTTGAAGAACATTAGTTTTTAAGTTAATTTATGCCAAAATTGAAGTTTTTCTCCTTTTTATTGCGTACTTTAGGGCCAACTATTAGCAGTCGAACTATAATTTTCTGCAGCCACAATAAAATTGCAGTATGATTTTTTTTCCCCTTCAGTTAAGTGTTCTAAGCCTGAGAACATGAACAAAGTCTTACTATAAATAAATAAACCGAGGATACTGAAGCAGTAGGATATTGCCTGATTAAAAACTTCATTCGATTCAAAAATAAATAAGTAGCAAATAACAGTCGACATGTTTCAATCGCTTCAAAAATAGGCGCCCATTTTCATTTAAACCACTTTTGTTTTTTCTCATTCACGTCTAGCAAGTCTTGAAAATCGGTGCCTACTTTTGAAACATGTCAACTGTTATTTGCTGTTAATTTATTTTTAAAGCTTTTTGTTTAAATTTCAAATATATTTTGGAGTAATAAAATTGTAAAGTGTGTTTTCTACAGTGAGAGAATAAGTCCACTCCATATATCTTTGTCGCTCTATCAGTGAACGCCGCAATAGCGGGCTGGGCAGGTAAAAAAGAGTGAAACGATCGGAAAAGATCTGTAGGCAAACGATAACGAGTAGAGGGCTTTGTCTCTAGTGTAGCTAATAAATGCAATGACTGAAATAATAACTATATAATATATTAAGGTATTAAAACGGAAACGTGAAAGGAACTGTGTCAGTTTCGGGGGTTAGTGAGCGACAGCGACCAGAGAATGGAGCCCTCTTTTGTTCCTAAAAATGAAATAGATACCCCACAAAAACCAATTGAAATAAATTTTATATTCCTCAAGAACAAATTGTTAAAATAACGCGTTCTGCATTCTAATTCTTCATAAATCTATCAATCCTTATCTCCCCCTCTGCAGACCCTATAAGAGTGGTCCTCTGGATGTCGTAACCCCCATCCTAAAGCTTCCACCATGTAAAAGGGGGTAACCACAAACGATTTTTAGTTTACAAATTTTGTGGTGGATTTAAATTTCATTGCTAGAATCAAAGCTAAAATAAAGCAGCCTTAACAATTTGTTCTTGAGGAATATAACATTTATATCAGTTTGTGTTTGTGGGGTATCTATTTCATTGAGGAACGAAAAAGCTGCTAGTTTGCTAAATGATGCTAAAAGCATGTTTGATAAAAACTGCTAGATGATGTCGAAACATTTAAGGGAAGGCAAGATTCAAAAGCAAAATGTCGTAGTTGACTTGTACATTTTGAACATAGCTCAAAATGTCAGTTTAAGAAAATGTGACCACAGCTTGAAATAAGGGTTTGAGAAAATGAATATAGCTCAAAAAACATATTTAAGAATTGATATGCGTATTTAGAAAAAAAAATGGGAATAGCTCAAAATATACATTTAAAAAAATAGGCTTAGCTTGAAATGTGCATTTGAAAAAATATGGGCGCAGCTAAAAAGGCGTGATATATAAATTTGACATAACAAAAATACGTCTTTTGTGGTATTTTTTTATTATTGAAATTGCACCCAAATTTTTAAAAACAACTATATTTCTTTTCAAAATACTTGCTTCACGGCGAAAAGGCTGGATTTCCTACTAATTATAAGCGTCTCATTTTTTCTTACTGTAAACTAATTTATAACGACGTAATATTCGAAATCTTGCTTGTCCCCAAATACAATAATTCCGTAAAAGTTTTGCTTTTGTACAACTTCGTGGTTCTAACATTTTGCTGAGCATTCATGTAATAATTGTGTTATTCAAGTCACGCGCAAGACCCATAACGGAGTTTTTGACATTTAAATAACTGCTGTGATTTTTATTATCAGATGTATATTCAAGCATGGCGTAGTTTTGTTTCTCTAAATCTTGCCACTTCTTTTCGAGTTGAGACAATTCTTGAAACGTTTTATTTCCATTTAGTTCTTTTGATAATGTATCATACAGTTTTTTAAGTTCACTTACAACCTTTTGAATTCCATTTAAGTGCACCAAGACAATTTCTCTTTCTTTCAACAACTCAGATTTCATACTTTCAGAACAAAATTTCATTTCTTCAGTTACAGGAACTGATTTTAGTTGTTCTTTTAATGATGCCATTTCTTGACGTAGATCATTTAGTTCATCTTTAGTTTGGACTTCTAGTTGATCGAGTTTAGCTAATTCTAAAAGCATCTGCTCTTCCGTTTTATTAACGGGAATTATTTTTTTTTGGTCTAGATTAATCATTTCGCTGATTTTTTCTAGAAAGTTTTGAATTTTTTTCTTATTCTTGTAACACTCATCCAACAAAATCTCATGATTTTGGTTAAAGAATAAAAGAAATTCATCCATTTCTTTCTCTCTCTTCTTCAGTTTTTCAACTTTTTCTTGTCGTTCTTTTCGTTTGCCATCGAATTCTTCCTTGTCTATTAGTGCTGCTTCTTTTTGGGTTATTTGAGATTTAATATCGATCGTTTCTTTCAGAATGCATTGTAGCAATTCACCAATTTCTTCCCTCATCTGGTTTAACTTTTGGAAATCCTTGTTATCAATGTTGCATTCCTCAAGATTATTCCTTTTTGTCTCTCTTTCTTTCAATGCGTAACATAGTTGCTTGGCTTCGTTTCTGCCCGAAAAGTCGCACTCTTTTTCCAACTTTGCGCGTTCCAACGCCAACTGAATTAGTTCCGTATCAAAATTTCTTAAAGTTGACGCAAGCTTTTTGTCGAGTCGCAGAAGATATTCGTAGCGATTATGAGAATCACCAGATGCCATCAAAATTTCTGAAATATACTCGTCTTGATTTATTTCCTCCTCAAGTTTGGACACCATTTCTTCCTTTTCTTTCCGTTTCTCGAATAAAGTTTCAGCGTCTTGCAGTAGTTTTTCATTATCCATTTTCAGTTCTTGGCACTTTTCTTCAATTCTAGTCAGATTATAATCGGAATTAACCGTATCAATTACTAAATTATAGTCCGCCAATGCTGCTTGCAGACGTTGTAGTTCCAAAGCCTTGTTTTCGGCTGCTTTCTTGTACGAAAAGTAAGCAGACTGATCGCTTTTCATAAAGTTAATATCTTTTATAAGCCTTTTCGTTACGGAAGATATCTCAAATCCTTTTCTGTAAAGCAATCCTTTATAATATGATTTGTNGTGTTAATTAGAGTAATACTTTCAAAGATATCTCAAATCCTTTTCTGTAAAGCAATCCTTTGTAATATGATTTGTCTCGAATCTGTCTTTTTTCTAAACTGGAATTCGGCCTTGATGTGACGAATCCTTGATTCGAAAGGATAATATTGGTGAGATTCGGACAGACGACAGAATCGGCACGCTTTGAGTCAAAGCTTGATTTTGAGTTACATCCGAATTCTAATGACAATTGCCTGCTGGACATTGATAATCTTGATGATGATGATGTCTTCGTAAGTCCAACTTTTTCAGGATTTTTTCTGACTTTAGATGAAAATTCAGCCCCGTGTTCTCCACTCATTGTTGCTAGTTAACTTTGCTGTAAAAGGGCATTGAACAGCGAATGCTGTACATACCATAAAACCTCAATCAAAATTAGAGCAGCGGTACTAAAGATGTAGTTGCTATTTTTGGATCAGATTATGCAGTTTTTTTGTTTTTACATTTCCACAACAATAAACATGTATGAACTAAATCAAAAAATATTTATGCTTCAAAATGATAGTAATAGTTTACAATCAAGAGCCCCTCTTACGATTTGTAAACAAACCAAATATATATGAAAGTACAACCAAGAACTAATAACATAACGATAAACAAAAATTGCGGTAACCCGAATGTGACGTCATTGAAAGCTAGACAGCTAAGAATATCATGGTTGCCAGAAACGGCGTTTCAGTAAAACTGAACGCAAATTATCCCCGCCAAACCATGGCGTCCCCCGATTCTAAATCTAAACCTAACTTATTTTTGATTTTTTATAATCAATTTTACGAATTTGCCACGTGCATACGGGCAATTTTGCTTAGTTGAGTATATCTGCTATATTGTTTTCAATATTTTTTTCGTGATTTTTTTTTATGAAATTATAAATAGATCAGTACATAAAACAACTAAGCTAAATAGCCATTTTTGTTTACATACAACTTGTCCAGAGTTGTGTGACTCCAATCATTAGCTTCTGAAGAATGGACGTTTTATTTTGTTTTATCGTTCTATCTGAAAATTTGAAGATATGTACTCTTTCTTTTATTGACGCGTACAATTCGTTCAAGGTTTTGAGAAATTTCTCCAACTTACTTCTCATTGAATATTTTTCTTAAATTTTTATTTTACCCTGTGCTTTTTGGTATATCTAATATGACCTAAACCTGATGTAATTACAGCAAGCTCTCGAACACACCTTAAATGAATATATGAGAACAAGGTTCCTGCTGTTCTTACAAATTTTAAGTGATAGCGAAAATAAAATACGCAAAAATACAGTCTTAGTGACCCGACTGATTGAACGTGCACCAGTTACCATTTACTACAATCGATCTCACGACCTATTGGACATGGGTCCAGCGTCCCACCAACTGGGCTGTCTCGGCCTAGTTGATTCTTAAAAGTTGCTTATGGTACTTTTCCTAAATGAAGAAGTTGATATATATATATATATATATATATATATNTTTTTCAACGCCAAATGGCAACCCTGCTGCAGAACGATTTCCCTTATAATAATCACCATTAAAATGCTATTCATACATTTCTTTATTTGAAAATAAGATTAAAAATTTACAGTACTAAATCAGGCACATTGCGCAGGATGTCCATCGGCAGAAGTCTCTCCAATAAAGTTAACATTCAACTGTCCATTAAACAATGAACATTAGAGTTAGACGTTAGATCTCATAAGTTCTTCCTTTATTTACAAGATACTTCTGTTAAGTATCAAGGATCAAACTGCACTTATCGTGAACTAAAATGCACCTATTTAACTCATGATGCACACGTTGGAGGATTCATGTCTCCGAAAACGTTCAGTTCGCACATGCACGCAATGACCAAGAATGCGACGTAGAGGACAAGGCACATGAGGCCCACTTTCCTGTTGAGTTTCCACCCTGATAAACTGAAGGTGACAAAAAGTAGCACAACTGTTGAAAGCAGGGTCAGAGTTGTGTACGTCAGAGCAGAACTGTTAATGATGAGGCTGGAAGTTTTCGAAAAGAAGAAGGTTTTGATGAACCATGGCACTCCGAGGCAGAACAGGATGTCGAAGATGTTACTCCCGATTAGATTGCATATTGCCATGTTAGCTAAACCTGGAATAGGAATGATAATTTTACTGTCTTATAAAACAAAATCTATTAGTTTTCTATCATCATTATTTTTTTAAAAAAAGCCAACATAGCGATATTTGCACATTACCTTGTTGTCCAAAACCAGAGAGAAAGTGACAGTTTTCTTAAAACTGGAAAAACCTACGCACGGGGGCATGCGGGCTGATGCTTAACAGTGCGAAGTCTCTCTTTAAAAATTTTCCTCTTCTAGCAAAGTGTCACATGACAAGAATATTAGGTTTGTTATCGTTTTCTGTAATTTCCAGCATTAATGTGTTAATTAGAGTAATACTTTCAAAAATTGCATAAAAGCTCAATAAAAAGTCGCGGTGGCTCAGAGGATAAAGCATTTGCCTCCCAATGAGGCGACCCAGGTTCGAAACCATGCGGTGGCTGGTTGTTGCGAATTCTGCTCCCAGCTGGAACCGACCATAATACTAACAAGAAGTATCCTCAGTGGTAGACGGTTCATATATCAGAATGCATTTGCCATCAGGCTAACCGTGAGAGGTTCTCGTGGTTTCCATCTCCATGTAAAGCAAATGCGGGATATTCCACCAAAAAGGCCTCTGCGAAGGCACAATGTTTGATACAGGAGTCTCGTGGGTTGGGTTCAAAATTGCAGAACTACAGAATTGAAAATTGATAGTCTTTAACTCAGAATTGGGACAGCTGTTCAACGCCGGATATAAAATAAAATATAACTTCAAAAAAGTGTTAAATAAAATCATTAGTACAGACATGCATTGCAGCTGACGGGGAGCACGAGTTCAGGAAAAATGTATATCTAATTGAAGACTTTGAGGCTACAGATAGAAAACTCATATCTAATTTCTCTTTCAAAAAAGTTATATTTACACATGCGCACGGGCTTAGACAATTTATAAATTCTTACCGCTTTTGACAACAATCACACTGGCAATAATTTCAGGTACGCTGATTCCAGCCGCAAGAATTGTTAAACCGGCGACAGAATCGGGAAGTCCAAATGTATGACCTGAAATATAATTACAAAAAATTGAATATTAATATAAAATGCTACATGTTTTTTGCTCTTTCTAAAAACTTTACTCTGGAGCTTCAAGGATATACATTTATACTTGCTTAATGCATTTTTTTTTTTTTTTTTTTACGTTTCAGATTACGACAAAATCCAAATTGTTTAGCTTACTAATATATTTGGAATTCTCCTGTTCTTTTCTAAATATAGTTCTCCTAAAGGAAATAAGATGGGAAGATAGAAAGAGAGATACAAAGAGAGATAGAAAAATATTAAGAGACACAAAGAGAAATAAATGATCATAGAGTATATTTGAAGAAAGAAACTCTATTGAAATAGAAGTTAGTAAATAGCTTAAACCATGGGTATAAAGCGCAAATCATCATCATCGTAGTTGGCCAGACAACCCAATGTGGGATAATGCCTTCAGCTGAAGATTTCTCCATAGCGACTTCCGATTCATCCTTGATATCAAATTATTTTCATTAATTGCAAGAAAATCAGACTCCACCGAGTCAGTCCATCTCAACAGTGACCTTCCCCGCTTTCTTGTTCCGGTGGGTCTAAAAAGCAGTATCCTTTTTATTGTATTGTCATCATTCATTCGCATCACGTGGGCCATCCAATTCATTCTATTTAATTTTATGTATTTAATAATATCGGGTTGTTTATAATCTTGTACAGTTCCAAGTTAAATCTCCTTCTCTAGTTATTGTTTTCATTTACGCCACCAAACTCCGAAAAATCTTTCTCACAAATATTGTGATACAATTTGCAATAAAGCACAAATAAAGCACCCAAAAACAGACAACCACCTAAGTAAAGCACAAATAAAGCACCCAAAAACAGACAACCACCTAAATAAAGCACAAATAAAGCACCCCAAAACAGACAACCACCTAAATAAAGCACAAATAAGATCACAAAGATGGACGACCTGAATAAAGCACAAAAAAGCTATAAAAACGTACAGTTACCTGGGGCCATATTTGCACTTTATTTACATTCACTAATTTTATTTTCATATAGCGGCTTAAGAACATTTCTAAAATCAAAATTAATTAAAAGATGAACAAAAATAATACTATATAATAAAATCATTAGACTTGACTTAAGTTTTGGATCAAAGTATGGTCCTTAACTGAATCATAAGCAGACCTGCTTGCTGTTTTTGAGAGAAAAGCATTGAGAAAAATTCTCGGTGCTACAAATGTGGATGGCTTGTGGAGACAGCGACATAGTTTTGAACTATATAGGCTATTCAAGGAAGCTGATATCATCAAATGCATCAAAATAAGTCGATTAAAGCTTGTGGGTCACATCTGTCGAATGGACCCTTTTTCCTTGACATTTAAGATCTTCAATTGCAAACCAATGGGAACTGGAGTTAGAGGTAGGCCTAAGATCAGATAGTTTGACTGTGAGGAAGAGGATTTCAAAATCCTAAGCTGGAGAATAATCGCAAAGAAAAGAACAGGATGGAGGAAGGTTCTAGGGAAGGCTATGGGTCACAACGGGCTGTCATGCCGATAGAAGAGGAAGAAAAGTTTCTGAAAAATTTCAATTCAATGATAAAATTGCAGGAAGTTTCAACGTACTGATTATAGTGACCATCCATGAGCACAAATAGGAGATGATTCCTATCCATACAACTGAAGATATGAAGGTGAGGATGTAGTTGCCTTGATTCGGTTTCCTGCAGGACGGAATCGTGTAGGTCAGGATGAATACTGCCGGCCACGTGATGAGCCACTGCAAGAACACAAACTTTCCTTCCTGGGGTATCACCCACGGAGAAAAATCGTCATCAACATCTGATTCTTCAGACTGAAATTGAATTATGCTGTTAAAAGTATCTATAATTGGCGAAAAGAAAAATAATTGAAATAAAGTACAAATAATTGAATTTTGCACTTTGAAGTATAATGTTTCATCAAAATTTTGTAACTGGTATAAATTTCTGACTGAAAAATTTCTGAAAGAATTTCTGAAATTCTGAAAGAAAATTTTCATGAATCATTATCGATTTAAACTCATGAGTAAAATCAAGAAAGAGATTATGCAGATGTTGAGCAAATTTAAGTAATATTTTTTGTTACGCGGGAAATATAAGGAACAAAAGTGACACTATGTTCAATTATTGTTCAGTTAATTTTACGTTCAGTTAATTTCGCCCCCTCAAAAATTGGAAACCTGCGACACACATAATTTCAAATTAAATAACCTGTCAAATATATTTCTTTTCTTTTAACTTTATAATTTTGAAATTTTCCATTTGCTACATCGAAGATACCTTTTTCTATATATTTTTTTTCAATCTTAATGAAGCTGTTTTAAAACTTTTATACTAAAATTTCGTGCCATTTCTTTGTACTAGGAACGTGTAAAAGTGATCAGCGCATCGTAAATTAGACACAAAAATTTAAATATTTAGTTAATAGCCAGTGGCCGGTTAGTAGCCACTTTTTATAATTGGTGACTTTTTCCCTTAATAGCCACCTTTTGCAAATTTTTTTGTTGCTTGGATTAAATTATAGTCTTAAAAAAAATCATATTAGAAATAATCTACAGCTATAAAGAGTTAAGTCAACAATAAAAATAATATAAATATATGACAAAATTTGGCTAAACATACTGACTTTAAAGAATTTAATTTAAAAATATTAAGGGTGGCAGAGTACATTTTATGTATAAATTAGAACTTTGTTTCAACTTTGTAAATTGTTAAAGTTATAAATTGTTAACTCTCCATCTACATGAATCTTTCCATCACAAATTGATGGATACTGAAGGATCAAAATTTTGAATGGAGACGTTGCACATTTAGATGGAAATTCTGTTTTCCAGAATCTTTCTGCATTGATGCACTTTTATGCCACTAAAGAATATCATCAATAAATTTTTAAAAAAATGGAAAAAGTGGCCAACTCGCCAAGTGACGGTAGTTATTTCCAAATCTAGTCGTATTAAAATCAATGTTTGAAGCTTTAAATTGCAGTAAACTCTCGCTACTACGATATCCGATACAACAGTAACTCCCTCTATTACGATAATGTTTCGTACTCCCGACGAACTTTCATATCAATTAATGTTATCCTCCTCTCACTATAACGATATTCTCTGAAGCTATAGATCCCTGCAAAACTATTTTTTTTCCAAATGTCAACCTTATTTTTTCCATTTATTATTGGTTTTCAAAAAATGTAAAAAATCTTATTTTATTATCTTTTGCCATTTTTTTCTGACAAGAGAAGACTCACTGCTGACCACCCCAAGAGCTTCCATTCTTAGAATTGCCTCCCTTATCACTTAAGAAGTCACAGATGTAACATTCCTATCTGATTTCATTTCCTTCAAGTTAAAAGCTGATCATGACAAATGACCACAAGCATCACATTATAACACCTGAAAGAGAACTTTTTCTATAGAGGGTGGGTGGGAGCACCATTCACAAACGAAAATCATTTTCATATTTTAAACTCAATGCGTACTTTGTCGGTTGACTTCAGAAAAATGAATAAATAAATAAAAATATCCGATTATTTTTAATAAAAACGGTTTTCAGTATGTTTGCGATCTTATTAGTTTTTGATTTTTGTATATACATTTATAGTTAATACATATATAACATTAAAATTTTAAAAAAAGATCTTATTGTGTCCCCAAAGTATGTAAGCCCTCGATATAACAATATATCCCTCTACAGCAATATATATATTTGGTCAACAAAAATAATGTTCTAGCGAGGTTTTAATGTAGTTTAAAGTGAAATAAGTTTTAAAAATAAGGCTCGAGATAGTAGGCTATTCTGGTTTGGCGTACTTTTCTACTTAATATTGGAAAGATACATTTGTTTGCATTGAGCGTGCATTTATATTGATTCTTGTGATTTGACAAGATAGTGAGAAAGGCGGTCATGCAGAAATGAAAATGTAAATATTTGTGTCGGCGTCTCTTTCTCCAGAAACTTACCGATGTGTCACTTTTGTCGTCGGGCACGTCATTTTCTGTTGACTTTGCACTGTCATGGGTGACAGATGCTGTCAACAAGAGCCGAGGATCACCTATTCTGGTTGCTTTCAGCGATAATGATTTCCTTTTTCCGAACGATGAGGCTCTGGCTCGGCGACTCTTTTTCCACCAACGGTGCAAGTCTTCCATCTGGAAAAGAATTATTTGTTATCATTATAATTGTTGATATAATCTGTATATTGATTGAAAATTATTCTTTGAACGTAGAATACAAGAAAAGTATTTACTTTTTATTTAATGAATGAATTTCCATATACTGACAAACAATCTTAGTGGTTAAAAAGTCGTCTGTCCTTTATGTCGTCTGCAAAAATTAATGGGCAATTAAATATGCCAAATAGTTTCTGCAGACGACATTTAAATTTCGAAATTTGATGTGAAAACATATTAACTGTAGAAACTAGCGCCGCCGCTGTCTGAAAAATATAACCAGTGAAAAAAACGTTCGAAAGATAGAGATAGAAATTTACTTTTTCGTATTTTGTTATGTCTATGACATTACTTAACTGAATCAAGTCTAGATTAATAAGTAAATAAATAAATATTAAAAAAAAATTTCCAAACAAGCTGGTTATCCGAAGATAGTTTTGCAGCAAAAATAACTTTATGTAATAGTTGTTTTTTATTAATTAATTTAATAATAATCAAAAAAGTTTTACATTGGAATGTACGCATGATGGTAAAAGTTAAAATTAAGTACTTTTTAAATGACGAGATTGAGAATTTAAATGGAACCAATCTAGAATTTTTTTTTAAATTGGACTTTTTGAGCCTTGAACCATTAAAACTGCATGCAAATACATGAAGTTGGATTATTAGATTAAATATTTATTCAGGTGTTACGTGTTTTTGTTTCCTTTTGTGCAATTACAATTGGAAGTTTCATGCACTTGCAGTTAAAGCTATTTATTTTTATCATTTAACCTAAATATTTCATTTTTTATCATAATTATTTTTATTCATCTTTAGAATAGAATAGAATGCAGTTAGAATAGTCTAACTACAATCATTACCCGATGATATCGATGAAAATTTTGTCTACACTTTACAGATACAAATTTTTTTTATTTTTAAATAGGCTAAATAAAGGTTGCCATACAAAAAGTAGTTACTAATGAAATTCAAAATTTTATTTTAAAATTAGCAACGTTATATAGCAATTTTTTCAGTTCAGTGCTAAGTGAAAATGCGAGGAATGCTTTTGATTTAATTCTAAATAATTTAAAATGTAAGTCATAGTAGTTACCGTTGACTAATTAAAGAGATAATAAAAAAATAAAATTAAATAGAGTTTCTACCACTTTTTACACTTTTAGTCGCCAGTGGCATCCTTGCTAATATTCTTGAATAATAGTAAAAAGGGAAACCTAGAATGTTGCATCACTTCTGAAAAACGTGATGAAGTTTTCGGTGCCTATAAGCATAAGTTACACTCCCTACGTTTTACGTTGTAAACGTAGAAAGAAGGAGAATTATTGTCTTTTAAACTTTTACTGTCATTTTGCTAAAAACCCCAGGTAAAATTTGAGTACTGTAGCTTGTTGGAAAAAGCCTTTTACAAAGGAACAACCAGCATTGAAAACGAATTAATTCACTTATTATAAAATAATAGTTTTGAGTGAAACTTGTTCAAGAAATGTGTTTTTTTTTTAAATAGAAAAGCTACATATTTTTTTATTCAAATAATTTCTTTACAATTCATTGAAAAGAACTTTATCCAACCTCATTTAACATCATATAAAGGCTTAAATACAGTTCATTGGTGCCGGGATAACCTGGTTGGTAGGGCGTTAGGTTCACGTTCGTGAGCCGGTTGAAGACTCCCCAATGGTGACTGGTGATTTTTAAATCTGTCGGGTCACAAAATCCTCCATGTTTCCACAATAAATTATGCCTCTGCTGGTACTGAATTGGAGATGGATCGTTTTGTGGTTCAGGTGAAAATTACGATCTGTGGATGAATGAATGGATCCGCTCTATAAACGGGTGTGGCAGAAGTCGAATTCTTGACAAAGGGTGGCACCAATGCTAAATAAGAACAATCGCACTGCTTGACTTAATGGCCTACGACCACAACGACAACAGCACAGTACATTGTAAAGAGAGAGAACAAAAAATGTGCCAAAATAGCTCCGAAACAAAGATAGTCCAATTTGAAAACCCGATGATGAACTGGCATTATTGAGTATTGTTACATACTCAAAATTGAAACAGCCATGAGAATTCGACTTCATTTGTAAATAAACATGGAAGCAAGGTAGAGAAGCGTTGATTACCGATCTCAAGACATTCCTTATTCATGAAATAACACTTTGAATGAAAATAAATACGGTAAACTTCAATCTAATTTGATTTTCTTTTCGGATATTTAATCGTTATAAACTTTGAGACATTGGTCACATTTCATGATGATGTGTCATTATTGAGACTATGCATTTTGATCGAAAATGAGTATATGCTGTTTCAACTTTAATCATGTCCTTAAGATAAATAATTGACGCAAAGTACTCACTGTTTATTGTTAAACTACACAAAAATGAAAAGTTATAACTGGAAAGAGTTTAACTGTACAGTATTTACAAGTTTCTTACTCGGCAGGCTGATAGGAATTGATTGGTAGCAGGTGATCACTTAATCATTCCGTATTTTTATTCCTCCTCATCCCACGATGGGTTTTCCTAATAACAGGTTTCAGTATTTCTCATTTTTTTACCAAGCCGGATTCTGCGAAAGCCATATAGCAACGGATTGTATGATTGATTGCCTATACTAAACATTTTGTTGCTGTTTAAGTGACCAATATTATGCGAAAAAGATTTTATACATTTTTATTGATTCGTGGTATCAATACCGACATCGCTTCCGGCTAACAATTTTAACCTATTCTTTTATAAATACAATAGCAGCAAAGTAACTTGGACCTTCATTGGACCAATATTCGCGAATCTTGGCTCAATAAGGGTTCAAAGGGCCGATATTTTCCGATATGGGCCTTACATAGAATTGTCAGATATTTTATAATCATTATTCAGCTAATATGAGCCCTATATAGGCCGATATTGACACTGCATAGGACCAATATTGAAAAATCTAGACATCTCAATATTGGTCTCTAGGAGTATGTTTATATAGGACCCATATTGAGCCAATTTTGAGCCCAAATGGGGCCAAGGTATAATTGTTTGCTAGAGTAGATGTGTGGGTGACCATCGGCTAAGTTATACTTCTAACAAAGGAAAAGGTCTTTTTTCTAACGAAAGAAAAGTTCTTCTACTGTTTTTAAAAATCCTTCTTAGCACTTCTAAAAATTGAGCCTTTTGTTGATTACGTTGCTATAATGCTCCTTAACAACTTACTATTAAAATCAACATACACTAATATCAATCAGAACGAAAGGTATTGCACTTGTTCAAGCATTCCTGTCGTAAATATTTCTGTCATTCATGTAATGCGGAGATACGTAATTCAGTAGACAAAAGCAGTTAATTCTAGATATGTATTTTAAATCAAAATAGTGGTTCAAATTGAAATAAAAATATCCATTTTACTGTTCAGTCTTTTTATAGTAGTTTTAATCTTTAATATGTGAATTTTCTTTGACGACGAATCCGTTAAAACAACAAATGTACCGTAAACCAGGGCGAGTCTACCCATCCAGGGACGAGTCTACCCATTTTAGTTTTATTTAATTTTCACTATTTTAAATTGCAAATAAATTTTTTTTTACCGACGGAGGACTTAGTTCAGACTCTAAGGAAGATGGCGCTGTAGTAGTTTGATCCGTTTTTATTTATTTGGTGTCTTTTTAACCGACCTGTTCAAACGTCTTTTGAGAGATTTGTATTGAAAATCAGCAAACTTTTAGTTGGTGCTCCGTAAGTATATTATTATTATTACTATTTTCACTTTGGTTAAGTGATAAACTTATCTAAGACTAAGATTACATTAATTTTATATGAAAAAAAACAAAAAGAATGTAAGTTTTGCTGTTGTAAACAAAAAGCCAGAATTCGCGGGGCGAGTCTACCCATTCGTATTTAGTTTTAATAAAGCATAATAATATAATTTAGAACTTTGTTTATATTAAAATTAAGTCATTTTAAATGAATTTGAGTATATTATTTTAATTCTGCATTGATAAATTTATCATTAATAAGAAAATTTATAGGTTAAATATAAATGTAAATATAAAATATGTTTATTTTACCTATTTTTTCAATTTTTATATTACAAAATTAACTTTTTTTATTTAATGCAAGTTAAATAAATTATTATTTATAAATTATTATTACCTCCCAAAAGAATGGGAAAAGGATTTTTCATGATTCCCAATGTTTGAATTTCGATTTTGTTAATAATCTTTAATTATTATTATTTATTAATTATTTAATTGTAAATTTATATTAATTTTAATTTATTTTTATCAACAATAATCAGAAAAAAATGTTATTTTATAATGTTAATGATTATAAAAACAAAACTGTGATCAAAATGTGATAATCGATCAAATACTCAATTTGTGTTATTTTATGAATAAAAAAATGGAATATATAATAAAGTTATGAATTTTACTTCATAAATATCCTATATAGTAACTAAAATAACAATTTAATAGTAAAATTTGATTATTTACAATGTTAACATTCATTTTAGTAGAATGGGTAGACTCGCCCCATACGAGAGATTTGTCAGCAGTTCTATAAAAATATACAGTAACAGCGTAACTATTAATATTTTCTAAAATCGATTTCACAGCTTTAAAGAGGGATAAATAGCGATTCCGAAAGCCTTTTTTCTTATATACTTACAAAAGTTTGACCACTTGAAAGATGACAAACTTAAAAAATGGGTAGACTCGCCCCGGTTTACGGTATCTGCTATTATGAATTGTGCGATTAACTACTTTTACTGTATTTTATAGATATGCCTTACCGTTCCTTCTCCCCATTCTTTAATTGAAGAATTGAAATACATGACAGTTATATAGACGCCGAACATCATAATCAACAAAATAGATTCAACGCTATAAAAAAGGAAAACATGAGTTCAGAATTATTATTAATTTGAGGAATTATGCATACATAATACACAAAAAAATTGATAGAAAAATAATTAATTATTATACTATTCCTCTGTAGTGCCCCCCCCCTAATGGCTGGCGCTTCTCAACCCCTGAAGATTGATATGCTATCTTATATGATTGCTATCATACATGGTTAGCTTTACAAATATGCTCGCTTTGCTCATTACTAAGTTAAACCCATTTGAAATGTGTTCTAACGTAAAAACTTAAACCAATTATTAAAATCATTAAAACTAATTCCTCTTTAAAAAATTTTGGTCAATAATTACACTGGTTATCATAAATTAAGGAAAAATCACAAAAATAGCGATAACTCTTTCAAAAGTAAGCCAAACCGTGCAAAATTTGCATATGTTGTCCACTAAGAGTNTTGGTCAATAATTAGTTAATGAAATAAAAAATTTTAAATTGAAATAAACGACATGCAATAGTAAAACTTACAAAAAACGAACAATAATTGTGGTATTAAAAAACAATTAATGTAAAAATTTACAATTTTATTAAAAACACAACTTTAAATTTCAGAACTTAGCGCTATCGCAGTAAAAGCTGTCGCATGACCTAACTATTAGGAAAGATAAATAAAATTAATGAAATACAATAGAAAAATTTGCAGAAACTAAACATTAATTATATTTTTTAAAAACAAAACAAAACGATTAATATTCATTTTTATAATGAATAAAATTATTATCATTGAACCTGAATAAGTATAACTAAGGCATAATGTAAAATAATTTGTTTGCTGATATGAATTATTCGCTTTTAACGATTCAATTTCCCCCCAACTTGTAGCTCAGTTTGTTTCAGCTTTTCTTTGTCCACGCGAGAAAGGAATTTTCATTCAAAAATTTGTAAACTTTTTGTTTAGCCTTTATGCTTATGACAGATCACGCTCTTGATATTTCAGTCATTTATAGCCAACGCAAAAACGAAATGAAGATTTTCTTTGTCACTGTGGATGGTAATTATTCGTTTGTAATGCAAGTTTATCTCTCAGAGAAAAAAGAACAATTTTTATACTGAACCTTGTGACAACATTGTCTTGAATCACACAGATGAGTGTCGTTACAGAAAAGATATAGACTAGAGAGTCTCTGGATATGGGATACCAATCCACTGCAGACTCCTAGGGGCAAAAAATTAGGAATTAAACACAATTGGGTACTTACACTGAAGAAGATGAAGAACACTGATACCCACACATATGACCTATGACGTCAGATGATTATTTATAGGTAAAATGACTTGTTAAAGTTGAGCTAAGTTTCTCCACACAAGTTAGAATATTAATTAACGTGAAGTTAATTAACATTCAACTCAAATGTATTTAATTAACGTGAAGCTAATTAGATGCACAGCCGTATCGCGCATCAAATTTGTTGAAGTAGAATTCTGTCTCGTCTTCGTCTTTTACTTAATTTTTATTCATATGTTTATGTATTTTGTTCTAACAGTGATATATTTTTTTTGTTTACCTGGCAACTTCNTCTTCGCAAACACAATTCTTGTAAAAAAAATTAAAAAATTGAATCTGTTTTATCAAAAAACTAGATCGTTTTATAAAATATAAATTATAGCGCTTAATAAAATATGAATACAGTGTATTTGTAAAGTGATCCTGACAATAAAAAGGTGTTATTTTCTTTTTTATTTTCTCTGCTAAAAGGAATTAATGAGTTATTTTTATTCATAATGGCTAGTCGAGGAGAAGAAGAAAATATCGAATTACACTGCTTAGGTTAATGTAATTTCGTTCTCCCACCACATTTACGCGTAATCCATCGCCAACTCCACCTGCAATCGCCACGTTTACAATCTACGGTATGTTTTGTCAATACGCTAACGGGATAGTTATAATCTTGTAATCCGTAACGGGTCATAAGAATACTCAAATTCCAAAACAAAACTAATGTCTAAGAAACCCAACAACTCTGTTGTTCTAAAAAATGTCTTCTAATTTTATCGTCTGCTTTTATTGAGTAGTGCGGCGTGTCGCTTATATCGTCTGCTTTTATTTTTTTATTTATCTCTTTATGTGTTTATTTTATTTTATTCATGCTTTTGCTAACCCGTTATTTTTTAATATTCTTACTTTTATGCATGCTTTTGCTAGCCAATTATTTCTTGAAATATTTGTAGACTTCATAGTGGATATAGCTTTTCTAGTATTAGATTAAAAATTTATGTTGATTTTCGGGTGAGTATATTCCGTTTAAAATTTTGTGATCCACGAGTACATTTTATTTTATTTTATTTTATAACCGTCGTTGAACAGCCGACCCCTTTTCATGGATTTACGACTACTTACGTTCAACTCCGTAGCCTTGTAATTTTGAACCAATCCAGAAGACAAGGAAACTCCTGGATCAGTACCCCCAGAGGTATTGATCCACGAGTACATTTAAATTATTCAAATATTCATGTAAGCGCTACTGTATTTTTGTTACGTCTCTACGCAAATAGTCTCAGTCGCTCAAGGTCTAATATCGCCGGCAGGTATTTCGTACCAATACATATCAAATCAAGTTTTCACCTGTGATGATTTGATTCCTATCACAATGTACCATCTTTCACCTGCATCTAAGCATATATTAAATTTTATCAAAATATTAACGAAAAAAACAAAGTTAAAAATTCTGTGAAATGTAACACCATTATTACAATTCCTATTATTGGGTGCCAGCTATTGTGCAGACTTGATTTTCAGGACGCATACACGTATTTTAATTCGTTGTTCTCTGAGCTGTTTATTACGTCATTGTGCTTGTCTGTCTGATCAGCAGTCTTAGAGAACAATGTAAATTTTATGTATCATTTTGTCTGTTATTGGCCTGTTGCTAGATCGTTTGGCATGATATTGGTTTAGAGTTCGTACAAAATATTTTCTGAATGCCCAGAAACGGCTGGAATATTGATAGTTTGAGATAAATTTAAAGAATGAATTGAGTGAGCAAGAGTTATGGAGCATAGTTATTAGTTAGAATGAGCTACAACTATCGTTTTATATTATCGTTTTATACTATCGTTTTATATTATCGTTTTATGTTATCGTTTTATATTTTTGTTTTATGTTATCGTTTTATTTACTTTATTATTATCGTTTTGAAAAAAGCTATTCATGAAACCTTCGCTGCTTAAAAAGTTGAGTAGTCCTTACCTCTTTTACTAANTTTTTTTTTTTTTTTTTGCGTTCCAGAGAAGGTTTGTGAGAAAAAAAATTTTCTGCTTACCCAACTTTTGTGAGTATTGTCAACTGACTCAGTATTGTCTATTCCGACTTTCGGTAACAGTGCAATCAATTCAATCATATTAGTTTTGTATATAAATAAAATTATTTAGATTTTAATCTTTTCTTCAAACAAAAAGAAATTAAAAAAAACCTCGGTATATTATTCTGATCAAAAACAATAAATAACTTTCACTGTTATTGTGAATGATTTTACTAATGGTAGCGATATACTCATAATAGTGCAAAGAAACTTTTAAAATCTTATGCATTGAAACAAAAACCAAAGCAATTGAAAAAATCCTGAAAAGGCGTAGAAGCCGACATCCGTACAATTTGATAATGTACTACACCCTACGATATTATATATCAGAAATATCGTAGAGGTTAGTACATAAATAGGAAAAGCAAAGTATACTATAGGAAAGATAGGAAAATAGTATAATGTCCCATGCTTCATTTTATACGAAATACTATAATAGGATATAGGTATTATAATAGGATGTACATGGAAAAAAATATTCTACCATAATAGGATATACAGCCCCTGGTCAAACTATTAGACGCACTGTAAGATTCTGTGTGTAATCTTAATTATCAGGTGATACTATACAGCTTTATTGTTTTGACGCTGCCGAAACTGGTTTGCACTTGTTTACGTTCGTGTATCAATTGATTAACATTGTAATGCAATACGTTAAAAATAAATGCAAATTGTAAGTATATTAAAATATCCTGAATAAAGACTCATTACATGTTTGTTTAAACATACAAGTATTGAATATTAAACTCGTGCAAAACATGTTAATATTAAAACACTGCAGCTCGTCTAATAAATTGGTCTAATTATTATAAAATACAAATGTAATAACTGATATAAAAAAATATTCTATATTTATATAATATATCGTCTAATTTACATTATATATCGTCTAATTTAACCAATTGACACACCAACGTAATCAAGGACAAACCGGTTACAGTCGCGTAAAAACAATAAAGCTGTAAAGTATCACCCAGAGTAGGATTGTACCTTTCGTNAAAAGGCGTAGAAGCCGACATCCGTACAATTTGATAATGTACTACACCCTACGATATTATATATCAGAAATATCGTAGAGGTTAGTACATAAATAGGAAAAGCAAAGTATACTATAGGAAAGATAGGAAAATAGTATAATGCCCTATGCTTCATTTTATACGAAATACTATAATAGGATATAGGTATTATAATAGGATGTACATAGAAAAATATTCTACCATAATAGGATATACAGTACCTGGCCAAACTATTAGACGCACTGTAAGATTCTGCGTGCAATCTTAATTATCAGGTGATACTACACAGCTTTATTGTTCTGATGGGTTTGTACTTGTTTACGTTCGTGTATCAATTGATTAACATTGTAATGCAATACGTTAAAAATAAATCCAAATTGTAAGTATATTAAAATATCCTGAATAAAAACTCATTACATGTTTGTTTAAACATACAAGTATTGAATATTAAACTTGTGCAAAACATGTAAATATTAAAACACTACAGTGCGTCTATTAATTTGGTCTAATTATTATAATATACTAATATAATGCCTGATATAATATATATTTGTATAATATATCGTCTAATTTATCCTATCGTCTAATTTAACCAATTGATATACAAACGTAAACAAGGGCAAGCCGCGTAAAAACAATAAAGCTGTGAAGTATCACCTGATAATTAAGATTTTACATAGTCTTAGATTGTGTCTAATATTTTGGCCAGGGACTGCATGTAATGTATATCCTATTATACGATATATATCATATAGTTTCCTATAATAGAAATATTAGAAAAGTATAGAAAATTAGTAGGTTGTAAGAATAAAAATTTTTTTAGTATGACCCTTTTCTTTGGTAAATAAAACAACTGATTATGGTAAATAAATGATAATTGACTCTGGCACAAAATATCATCAGTCAAATTATCATCAGTCAAAGTGATTAGCATGAGTACCGATTGGATTGGAAGCTACGAGCTAACGAACAATACAGAAGAATAAAAAATAAAATGATGCATGCAAATGATTCAAACAAAACAAAGTGGTTTCAAAATTTCAAATTTTATGTTCTCATGAATTTCAAATTTGCATTTTTTACAGATCGAAAATATCTTGTAAATTTGTCATTGCTGTTATATGCTAAACATTCTTTGTTCGTTCAGTATCGACTTATACCCCTTTACGACAAGATGTAGCTTGAAAGTTCTTATTCCTTTCGTATAAAAAAGCTCAAAACGTAAAAAAATGGTGAAAGCTATTTCGTTTACATGTCTAACATGTCTCGTTTACATGTTACTAATCTAAGAAATAATAGATAACTCATGCCCATTGGAATACATTAATAAATTTAAAGTTTATATTAATATTTGTAATGAGAATATTTTAAAAATTAAGATGTTAACTAAGAGAAGAAAACTTTTTACATAATTTAAACATGATTTAAAAAATATACTACGTATTTCCACTTTATACCTAACCTGCACATTTGTGCAAAATCGGTTATAAAAATTTAAGCTCGAATAAAAAAAAAGTCACGTATTTTACTGGTTTTTACGTTTATTCAGGCTTAAAAAAATCGAGGATGTCGACGACAAACAAATTGTAAAAATTTTAGACCTATTCCCCTTTTAAACAATGACAGTTTATTTACTTTTATATCTTCCTAAAATAAATAATAAACTTCCGTCGAATATCAGTTTTTTTTCTCTATTGCTGCAGAAAAGGTCAAGTTGAAAATTAAATAAAAAGGAAGGAAATACAACACACGGATTTTTAAAGCAACATCTGGATAAAGCAAAACAAATTTATTTAGCTAGTCCACAAGCCATTCTAAGAAATCAGAAGATAAAGAATGTCACAGTTTTGAAAGAAAAATTTCGACTGTTGCAGACGATAAATATTTTATCATGTGACGTAACCATAACTGATCTGAATCATGGAATAAAATCATAGCCACCGAGAAATAAGGCCGTCGAGATCATCAAGGTCTTTTAGTGACGTCACATTCTGTGGGGATATGTGATTAGCCGCCAATTTCAAATATTTGTCCTTCATTGAATAGCAGTGTTGTTTGTCCGTCGGATGTGTCCTTTTAAACGATTTAAAATAATCGTGTGTAGTTCCAAGATGTAAAGGGAACTACAAAAATGTGCCTAAAGTATCAGTATTTAGGTTTCCAAAANTGAGGCAAAAATATATTACGTGGCTCAAAAGTTTGAATTATTTATTATAGTTTTCTCTTAATACAAACCTGAATTCCGCGTTATCTTATGCTTCGCTAACCCGTCAGAGGATGACGTCACAAATCTACTGAGAGGCCTTCACTCTCGGTGGCTATGATAAAATGCGGTCACTGGTGATATTTTTATGGGCTAGAGTGCAAACGTTGCGGGGTATATTTATTGAAGACTGAAATGAGTGTTATTTAAACAATCTCCTGCAGCACGTGGTAGTTCCTCTTTGAATTAAATCTATGCGCACGACAAAGAATGCACTAGATTCGACCATTTATTATGGACTTTTCTTTAATCTATTCGTTATACTTCGTTTTCTTTATTTATTCTTTGCGAATGTGACATATAATTCTGGAATAAGTAGGTTTTAATGTAATTACGAGATTGGAAAATAAAAGACTATAAACTCTGTCATACAATTTTCGTTTGCTTAAATAGAGGGCAAAACAGAAAACTATTTTGATACTGAAAACTACAGTGCGCAAAAAAAGGAAAAACACCCTGAATAACTTTTTGATTTAATGATATTGTTTTAACGTTCTAGGTTCGGGGGTTAGGGTGGTTTGAGGGCCTAACCTTATTTACGCAAATTAATTAGTGCTGACGATAATTTAAATTGCGAAATTGGGCACACCGTACTTTCTCTGAATTAACATTTATTTACTTATTTTTTTTTGATAAATTTGAAATCTTGACCTTCTATCTAAAAAATAGGGTCCCAATTGCGAGAGATCAGGCGAGAAAATTCGAACCCCTTAATATTAATTTCACTTTTTGTTTAGTTCACCATATCTCCGCACTTTTTCAAAAATATTTTGCCCACAATTTTAAAATTCGTTTATCCAACTATACTTCCTTGCAAAAAAAAATTTTTTTATAATTATTTTTAATTGTTTAAAAATTTAAATGGTAAGATATGCAAATTTTTACGCAATATTACAGAATGTAATTTCAAATCACAAAATATAAAATTTAAACGAAAACTGAATAACTAAATACTTGTGCTTCACTTTTTTTTAAGCAAAATGCCGCTCAATTTTTCAATTGTTCAGTTTTTGGGACAATGTCTCTTTGAAACGTTAAAGACTGGTAAATCATTTCAAGCATTTACAATTGGAGTAACTGAATGTTCTCATCCACCAGAATGTATCAGTAATATTTTGTGACATACATTCTGTTCTGAAATCAACCAGTTACGTTTTGTAACTAACTGGAGAAAATATTAATTTAATGTTTATGCAAACTTGATTTCACATTTTTCATAAGGCACTTTTCCACAGTTCGGTAGCTACTTTACAATCCAGCGGCTTTTAACAACTTTTCTTTTCTTGGAGATTTTTCTCTTAGTTGTAGTTATTTGCAATTGTAATGCAAGCTTTTTTCTTCTTCTAAAATTTGTTACCTGAACTAAAAAAAAATGCCAAGAATCAAGTTTTTTTCTTTTTATTTGAGAAAATGCCAAACAGGAGATCTGGTCATTAAACGTCGCTGGATTGGAAACTCGCAGTCCTGCTCGTAAAAGCAGTATGTTGACACTAATGGGTTGCAATGCCATTGCACCATTTTCACGATAACAACATTTTGCGGATCAAAGCTATATTTAAAGTCGAGCACTGTTGTGTTAAAAAGTAAAATAGCAAACTTACCGTGTTCCATAAAAGGATGCCAGTAACACTTGTTACTCCCAAAATGTTAAATACAGCGGATCCCACAATTGTCCCTATCCCAATGTCTCCTTTCGTTACAAAGGAACCTGAAAAGAAGAATATCGTTGCCATTTAGAAAAATTTTTTGATATCGTTACTATAAATACAAGAGATGTAATTATATTTCTTCCAAGGGAGGGAAGAAAATTTAAACATTCCTCATAGTTACAAACTTGTTATGATCACAGTCAACAGTTAAATTATTTTTCCCAGTCTATTTATTTTTATTAAATTAGAGTTGTCGCAAAAGATTACACCTCGTTATTTTATGGACTTGGGACAATGCGCAGTAGTAAGCAAATGAGACATTTCTTACATCAAATTGTTCCATAATATTGTTTTCAGATAGATACTGAATAATTTTAGCTAGAAAACAGCACAATTCGCAGAAAAGTCTTTTTGCCTACGTTAGGGGTGCACAACCTTTTTGAGTGAAGGGCCACTTGCACAGCTGGTTGACTAACGAAGGGCTGCAGATGTATTTAAACATGTTGACGGCAAATGTACTAATATTTATTTAAACATTAGTGTTCTAATTTTTTTTATCAATGAACTTCATAATATATTTGTGGAAAATTAAAGGCTTTCACACAATTGTTAAAATTAATTCAAAAATGAAAAACCAAACTAATATTTTTTTTAAGAGAAATTTCTATTTTTATCACATTAAAAATAGATTTATCAAAATAAATAAATAAACATTGGAGAAAAGAAATGTTTTTTTTTATCATATCACAAAGTAAAAAAATTCATTTTAAAAATAAATTCTAATAAAAAACTACAATGCTCATCACATGTGTGGGTATCCGTGATCTTCTTGAAGTGCAAGTACCCAATTTTGGGGCGGTATGTATGCATCTACGTTATTTATATGACGTGACGGTCAAAATCATTATAAATCAATTTTGTTGAAAAAAATCAAGATTAATGAACTTATCCACTTTAAAAATAAGCAGAAAATCTCCCACAAAAACGGGAGATTCAGCATTCATGCAGCGCTAATCAAGAGGAATCTTGTATTCCACTCACCTTTTTTTTCTTCTATTTATGTCAATCGTATTCATGCCAATATACCAGTTGCCTTCAATGGCACTATCTCATATGAAGCTAATTGCATTCCTTCATTATGAATCGATGCAGAGTTAAAATACATATCTGAGTCAAAAGCAGCTATGCGATTTAAAACTGAAATTTCTCGATGGGAAAAGGATAAATTTCATAATTTTTCGAAGCATGCACCATTGAATTGACTCATGTTTTAAAACGAAATTGATTGTAAAATGTCTTAAAATAATGCAAATCATTTTCAGAAGATTTGTCTGATTCGATTTCAGTTTAATGCGTGAAAATTTCATTCCCAATGTCAATAGTTATTTAAAGTGGGCAAATTTCAACCTTCATTTTAATAACTTTTGATTAAATCTCTTATTTTCAAGTACAAGGACACAATCCTAATGGTTTGAGAGGTTAATCTTAAATGCTTATATTAATTTGTGAAGGCGATATTTAGGCCTTAACTCTACTGCCTAAACTATTGGGACCACATTTTCCAGACTGCAGGCTACCCCCCATAGTTGGAGAATCAATAATTAAAACTCGCCGATTAAAAGATATGTTCATTAAAAAAATGCATGTTTTTTAGTCTGATTTTATAACTGAATATATTCTGTCATTGTAAATATTTTTAGTTATGGCCTCGAACCATGAAGATAGAGTCCTAGCAAGTGAAAATACGTTCGTTAGATTAAAAGTTATTGAAGTATCAGATTTTTTTGCTTGTTGTATTTTAACATAAGAAAAAAAAATGAAAACGGAATTACAAGTGCTATTATAAACTACAGGGTTTGGACAAAATTATGGAGACACTCTCATACTAACTTGATGTAAACAATCTTTATTTTAGCAGCAAATGTTTTCAAAGATATTATATGGCAAAACTCTTGATAACTCTATGTTAACAATCTTTATTTTAGAAGGAAATGTTTTGGAATATTTTATATGGCAAAACTTTTGGCAACTCCTCTATGTAAACAATCTTTATTTTAGAAAGAAATGTTTTGGAAAATTTTCTGTGGCGAAACTCTTTACAATTGTATGTTAACAATTTTTATTTTAGCAGAAAATGTTTTGGAAGATTTAATATTGCAAAACTCTTCACAACTCTATGTTAACAATATTTATTTTAGCAGAAAATGTTTTGAAGCATTTTCTTTGGCAAAACTGTTGACAAAACTATGTAAATACTCTTTCTTTTAGCAGCAGCAAATGTTTTGGAAGATTTTCTACGGCAAAACTCTTTGCACAATGTGAAAGATCATGAGTGAAGCTTTTAGAGTTGATGTCATATTTACCCGTTCAAAATTAAAATTGATTAAAATGAGGAGAGAATCAAGCTTCAAGCATGATCTTTAAAACTGTGTCAGCTGTTTTGCTAGGCAAAATCTTCCAAAGCAAGGAGGAGAAGGTCCTTCATGAACTGCAGAACCGAGGAGTAGTTAAGTAAGTAATCTTCTAAAACATTAACTGCTGAAAGAAAGATTGTTTACATAGCTATTTTATTTTATTTTTTAACACAAAAACATATTAATACTAATGGAAACTTAATAGCAAATTTATGAAAAATACCATATTGGCTTATCATTGTGTACAATGCAACGAAATAAAAGTTTAATTCATGGGCCAAGAAGAAGAGAAACGACTATCTCTTCATCTGAACTTCTTCCCCGCAACTAATTTTGAATTGCAGGACTATCACAAAAGGAATATCAAATCAAGAACACATCCATTAATCCATATATTTTAGCCATTGCTATCCATCGTAATACCTCTTTTACTTCCTTGCCATTTACTTTCAGCACATATCCATGGACAATGGTATGGATCTTAATATTTTATGTTCAATATTATGGCCAACAGGGATATATATTATTCCTCCAATGGCAACCATAAATTTGTTAGCTTCTTTTTACAACTTAAGAAGAACTATAAAACTAAGATGATAAAATGGACACAAAAGCAGAGCGTTCATGAAAAATTAGAATGTGGTAGCCAATTTAAATTAAACTAATAAAAAAAGGTTTTTAATAAGATCTAAACTAACGAACTGTTCAACTTATAGGTTTCATTTTAATTTGAAAATAACACCACAATCAGTTTCGTAATTAAATATTTTTACTTAAATTTATATCTCGTATCTTATTAAAATATCTCGTCTCTCAAAAAATATGCAAAAAATAGCCTACTTTATTTTTAAAAGTGCGTTGTGATTCTCGCGTAATTGTTTGGAAAATTGGGTGTAATGAAATATTATTAGAATAATTAAATCTTTCATTTTTATCTGTAAAGTAACCTATATTGCATAAGAAATAAAGTTAGTGCATAAAACTTGTTTCCAATGTTATTGCAAAATGAAGTTTAATGAAATATATTTATTCAAATTTCTTTAAAATTATTTTTTAATGAAAACTCGTTTGTAAGATTGAAGAAATGAGTCTCAAGTTAAATATTTTAATAAATGTCGGTTTTAGGGTCGATTCACACATAATCAGGTTTTAAAATTATATCCGTATGATTCCCCTTCCTTGTGATTTAAGAGTTCTAGTGATATTGTCTCTTTATTTAAGCGGATGCAAATCACGGTGAAATAATAATGCATTATTTTTATTCTTTTTTTTAAAAAATAAAATAAAATATTGATGAAGTTGACGACCAAAGGAAGATAACGAATTTTTAACCAATTTACGTGAATTAATTAATGTTCAGTTAACTAATTTTTTTTAAGCGAAACAAACCTCCCCTTTTACTGGCTTATTTGGTTACAATAAAATAGTAAATTTTTTTACTCAGTAAACTATTTTTTTTAAACAAAACGAATTTCCTTTCAACTGGCTTATTTTTAATTAATCAAAAATAAGCCAGTTGAATTAATAATTGGTTATTTTTAATATCGGATTAAAATAGATTATGGAAACATCAGTATAGAGAATACCTAGCAAACGGCTCTTAACCTTACAATACATAACTACAGAAAAATCTAATCAATGGCTCTTAACCCTTAAAAACATCAGTGTAGGGAATACCGGGCAAGTGTATGCTAGGTAATGTGTCTCACATCTTTCCCATTATACCCTGGTTGATCCGGTTATTAGTAATAATAATTCACGATTACTAATAATAATCAAATTACTAATAATAAATGTCACGTAAGGTGTCATGTAAATCACGATTACTAATAATAAATGTTTCAAACGTTAAAAAATAAATTTGCCTGATGTGAATGAGAAAAACAAAGCATATTGGGAAGCAAAATCATTTAGTTGCCAATTTAAAAAAAAGAAAAAAAAAAAAAGTAAAATTAAATGGGATGGTTCAGATGCCCAGGTATAATGTATTGTTTGTATGTTAACTGAAATAACTGTAGATTAATGTATGAAGAAATTTATTGTGAAAATTCGTTGTAAAATTAAAATATTTCAGAATGGATTTATTCTACTTATTTATAAATTGAATTTTTACATTAGACGGATAAATATTTTTCTTTTTTTTTACTTACCGATGACTGCTGAATATAATTCTGGTGATGACGTACCAATTGCCATAAATGTTGCTCCAGCGACATCTACTGGCACGTTTAAAGCTGTAAAGAAAATTTGTATGAGAAATTTCAGCTTAAAAATAGTTAAATGAAGGGAAATACAATTTCAAAATATTATAAGATATCCAATAAAAATATTTTATTATTTTTTTTGTAATTGTTAAAGGTTATAAAATATAAATGAAGCTATATGGAATTTCATAAAATTTTGCATTCATTAAGTTGAAGAAAATTCATAAAGATGTTTATAATTTTTGCAACTTTGCTTGTTTGTACGAGTTATTCTTCCAGGAGATATTACATTAGTAAGCTCAGCGTCTTAACTAGGGTTCGTACAGCATTTTAAAAATTAAAAAATAATGTTTATGTTTTCATAAAAAAGTAGCAAATTTGTTTATTAAAGTTGCAAATTATTATAGTTTGTTATAAAGTATAAATCATAATAGTTTCCTTTAAAAAATTTTATTTAAATTTTTTTTATTATAAAATTAAAAAGATTCTATGTAATAAATAATAATTTTCAATTATTTTTAAATAATTTTAATTTTATATTTTTTTTTTCATTTTAAAATAAAAAAAAAAACTTTTACAACGAATTTCGAAATTACGCATGTTTATTTGGAAATATTAAGCAGTTAGTGGTCAATATAAAAATATTAGTATTAAAATATGTTTTATTTTCTTAATTTTGCGACAGCTTTTTAAACTTTTTTAGGATTGTACGAACTCTGCTATCGGTGGCATAACTTTCAAAGAGCAACCAAAGAGGGGAGCTTTAAATTCATGAAAAATAATCAGAAATTAATTTCAGAATAAAATGTTTTTCTCTCTTAAATATTCCTAGTTCAAATCGCGAAAGACTTTAATAGTTTCATTGTATAACTTCTTCAAGTTTTTATTGAACATGGTGGTATTTTATTTTATAACTACCGTCGTTGAACAGCCGATCAAATTTTTGGGTTTACGACTACTAATGTTCAACTCCGTAGCCTTGTAATTTCCTAGTCAATCCAGAGGACAAGGAAGCTCCTGGATCAAGTACTGGGAGAAATTTGCCTTCACGGAAAGCTTTTTAATGGAACTAAGCCACATTTGCGTTACATAAAGAAGGAAACCATGAAAACCTCCCATGGTTAGGACTCTAATCCATGATCCGTATGATGTTTTACGTCAGCACTGTGATCGGTGCAAACCAGATGCTCATTCGTATCAACCAAGGATCCGAACCCGGTACACCTCATTGCGAGGCTAGAGCTCTATCCCCTGAGCCACCATGATTCTGGGGATAAAACTAAAATTAGGATCACTGAAATTATAATAGTTTTTACCTTTTCAAATACAAACCACTAGAAATGTAATATTATTTGCATTTAAACGCCCAGAATTTTATAGCAAACACTATTCATAACCACATTGTCAGCTAACCTCAACGAATGCATACAAAATGACAGATACTACCGCTTCGCGGTCCAGTCTCCCAGATCCAAAAGCAAGCAACCACTATTCTTTAAACGGCATAGAGAACTCTTCACTTAGAATTTGTGATCGACGGTCACCGCTAGCGTTTCTAATTAAAACTTACTGTACTGGAAAAGGATGACATTCAAAAATGCCGCGGAATCGATCTGAGTTAAACTTATTCCATTTCAACCGGATGCTTTTCTTCAGTCGTCCCTTGAAATTTGATTTTTAACTGGCTTAATTATTACTTCAACCACAGCTTAAATACTGTGAAAACTAACGGATTAGTCGCATAAGGATATAAACGAAAATTATCGAAGAAGCGAGTGAAATGGATTTTCTTACATTCTGCAATAATTTCTAAGGTGGGCACGAAAAACTGATCACAGACTATGGCTAAGACAAGGCACAGGTAGGCGGTGGCGATGAAATGAAAGATGACGAAACCACTTTGGCGCTGTTCTTGGGTGAATAAGTCTCCTGGAAATTCATTGATTGCTGGAGGAACACATTCTGGTATGCCGCTCAGTTTGGGAGCTGAAAAACAAAAGCCATGTGATTAACAGTCGACAAAGAAAATAAGAAAGCCACAAATTAACAAAACATTTTGAATTTTTGATAGGTAGTGGTGGGAAAATCACATCATATGATAAATAAACTATAAGTAACTTAAAATTAGCTACCACTTGAAGATATTTTTTACCAAGCGGAGTAAGTTGGCATTTCTGAGATTCTTCCCTTTTATTTATAATTTGCAGATTTCTTTTTGTAAGTATGTAAAAAGTCCTATATCTTCTATGAATCATTTTGAAAAATATAAAAACTAAAAAAATGCAAAAAATTTACGTTCTTAATTTTTCGGTTTTAAAATTTTTACTTTACTTTGAAGAGAAGTGTTCATATGAAATAAATAGTGCAAGGAACTGAAGCGAAAAAGCTTATCTTTATAAAGATTTCATTATTGTCACAAATTAATGAAGGTTGGAAAGGTTGACGTCGGCCATTAAGTCAGAGGGGATATGATTGTTCATGTTTTCCAGTGGAGTTCCTATGGCAAATTCGACTGGTGCCACATCCATACGTCACACCTGTTTATAGGGAGGACCCATTAATGCATTCACTCATTTGTCCTGATTTTAACTTGAAGAGAACGATCAATCTTCAATTCAGTATCCCCAGAGGTATTGATTTGTTATGGAAACATGGGGGACTTTGTGACCCGACAGATTTAAAGTGCACCAGTCATCATTTACAACACGGTGTCCAATTGATCCTTTACATACATGTTTAAATTTATTATATGCTGTAGTGGACAAAACTCTTTTAATTCCAATTTATTAAAATATCAATCAAATACAAGGAGATCACAAGGGAGGATATTTTCCGAAACTTCGGAAATTCCAAACTCCGGATATGTTTTAATAACTTTGAACAGTTTAATTAAATGAAGTATTATCAATAGATTACAAGTTGAACAGTGATTGCTGATACTCACACAAGATCAAAAGTAATAGTCGAAAAGTGAACTCAACAAACTTAAGTAAAAATAAACATCAAGACTTAATTTCCTTTCTAAGATTAAAAAATCAAATATCGGACTGTTCATACGGAACTTTTACTACAGAAGTTATTATTTTTTAGGATTTTTAAAGAGCAAATTGAATGTAAATATTTAAATGAGATATTATTAATATATCAGAAGTTGAACAATGATTACAGGTATTTGTAGAAAATGAACAATAATTGTCAAAAAATTATCTATATAACCATAATTTTTATCATCACCAGATAAAAGCTCGCTTTTTAAGACTAAAAATTTATTTTAAACTCTGATTTAACTAACAGGAGTCAATTTTTTCGCAGACTTTTGCATTATTTTGAAATTTAGTAGAAATATTTGAAAAAGAAATTATCAATTTATCGCAATTGAATAAATAATTTTAATATTGTTGCAATATAAGAAGTCATTATGAAAATTAAACTACGCAAACATAAGTTTAATCAACACAAGCAGATATAATTTGCTTTTCTAAGATCAATATATTTTGTTTTGAACTCTGATTAAGGAACTTGTAGCTGCTTAAACTAGAGAAGTTATTCTTTTGTGTGTTTTTTTAAAAGAATATTTTAAATACCATAAAAGTATTTACTTCTCGAACTCATATATTAATTAATAATAGTTTTCCAAGTTGCGACATATCATAATTAAATTTTAATGAAAAATAAATAATAATATCATTATTGCAATTAAATATATTCCGCCTTTTGTTTCGTTGCAAAAAGAATAACACATTCCCAATTACTTTAATGAAATTTTCAGTACACTTTTTGAAATAAATAATGTTACGAAATCTGAAAACAGAATAAATAAACAGTAGAAAAGAATGTTTTTAGACGTCTCGAAATTTCGATTTCAGACAGTAATTAATTTGAATTCATTTTCAAAAATAAGAGTTTTTCTCATTAAAGAGATTCTTTGATGTTCTTTCGCAACAATGTCTATTTTTGTTAACTTAAATTAAAAGCTTTAATATTTATATATTCTCCTTTTAAAAAAAAATATTATTTTTGCAATGAATATTAAACAAATTTATAACTACTAATGTCTCAAAAATTTTTGAAACAAATTCATATAACGTCTTTTTAATAATTCTATCTTCAAATAAAATTGTAATTTGTTTATTCTTAACTCTTAGCACTCGGATGTCGCCTGTCAGGACACAACAAAAGTCACCTCACTAGAATTAAAAATTTTTATATCTAAATAATTAGTAACCACATCTAAATACTTAGTAATCACATACGAATTTTAATTAAAATTAAGTAAAAATATTGCCATTTAGAATTTTGATCTAAAGTGCTTATATTAGTTCTTAACTGTCATGTTAGTCAATATTAAAGTGCTTATATTAACCCTTTACACCACTAAAATTTTGAGGGAAAAAAATTTCGCAAACGCATAATGTCAAATCAAAATGTAACAACTTATATTAGATGTACAACTTATATTTAAGAGTGTCAATATTTCCGACTATAAAAACGCGTAACTCAGTTAAAAAAAATATCAAGCAGTTATAATATTTTTTTTTAAATAATGCTTGGTGTCATTTATACTTAATTCAATTTTTGATTAATTTCATAAATTTAAATTATGTAAAAAAAAACTAAAAAAAACTGAGTGTTATAAACGTAACACAAAATGTTATGTCCAAAAAAAATAATTTTTCAATTTCTTAAAAATTTCATTAAGTGTAAAAGAAACTAAGAGGCCTTTCAGAAAAAATATATATAACTGCTTGATATTTTTTAAAATAAGTTATGTATTCTAGAAATCTGTAAATATGACTTTCGTGAATGGTGATATTACCCATTATTAATAAATTTCATTTAACAGGAATGTCTTTTTTATCGAAAAAATATTTAAAAAAAATATAATTAGCACTTTTTAGCTATTTTTTTTAAAACGAGTAGAATAAGAAAGAGAGCTTTGAAGGTATAATGGATAAAAAAAATTTTTTAATATTTCCCCGATAACGTAAATTGCATAGCTGCCTTTTTTAATACACTCCAATCTGGTTAAAATTCTTTTTAGTAGTAGCAATATAAGAGTTGATTTTAAAATTGTAAGAAGGAATTATTTCACCTAAATTTTTCACTTAAATTTTTAAAATAAGAAGATTTTTTACATATTTTTTAAACTATTTATACGTAGTGGTGATAAAAAATCGTTATAAATCAACTTGGCTAAACAAGGAATAAAAAATATTAGCGTATACATTTTGTTAGAACTTTTAAAATATGAATAAAATTTTCCGTCAAAATCAGGAGATACATAAGCTGTGTATTGGTAAATGTAAACAATCAGCATATTAAATAAATTACAATGCTTTTGAAGTCAATCAGTAGAGAAAAAAAACAATTTTTGAAGCAAATCATGGTGTGTTCTTATCAAACAGCACTTTTAATCTTGCTTTTTTTAATCGCTGTAAATGTTATCAATCATTGTTTTAAATAGACCTATAACAAAACGTATTAAATACTTGGCCTCGATTGCTTTCTACTACATATAAAGTTTTTATTATTAAGTTTGCATACGGTTGATTTGGTCAATTTCGTAAAACAGAATAAATTTATTTGGAATGCATCAAAGCAAAAAGTATTACTTATAAGGGCTTTAAACTGATGTATTGCAGGTTGATTAACGGTAGATCCAAAGTTTAAACCACATAATGTTAATTTTACTTTTCGCGAATTTCGCCGTATCTCGAGAACGTCTTAAGCGAATTTAAAAAAAAATTTGCACACAATTATAAAATTCGCTTATCCAAAGATAATAACATGCACAAAATAAAATTTGTTGAATATTTATTACATTTCATAATTTTATTTAATAACAGTCGAAACATTTTTAAATTGTAAGGTATGCAACTTTTTATATAATTTTTAATTGTGTAAAATAACAAGGCAAAATACAAAATCTGAGTTAAATCGGTCGAATAGTTTCTTAGAAATCGAATTTTTTTTTAAAAAAAACGTATGTATAAAATAATAAAATATTTAAAAATATGTGGGGAGGCAATACACATTTGATGCATGCAATACAACTCAGAAATATGTGAATTGTTAAAGAACTCTCCGTTTACGCGAATCTTTCTATTCATCAATTTACAATCCATCAATTTACAAATTGATTAGTCCACCGATTTGTAAATTGATGGATTCTAATAGATCAAAATTTTGAATGGAGACATTAGACATTATTATGAAAATTCTATTTTACAGAATCTTTCTGCGTAGATGTTTTTTTTAACCAATAAATGATTTAGAAAAAAAAACGATGGAAAAAAGTGACCGGCTGTCTATTTAATTTTAGTCGCCACTTTTTTCTGTTGACTCGCCACGTGTCAAGCAGTTATTTTCAGTTCTAAGGCGATGCCCCCACCTGTAAATCACTTCAACTAACAATCAATGTTTTAAATTAGTTTAATTTAATGAACGGAAATAAACTCGTTTCGATTACAAGCATCCTGAAGAAATTTACAAAACTTGCAACAAATAACAGTTATCTGGTTGGGATTATTTTATTATTATTTTTTTACTTCCTGTTCCACATAATCCTATTTTTTTCTCTTCAGATTCCTATAATTGCCATTCCAAGAAAAAAGAAATAAAATGATGAACAAAATAAACAAATGAGGCTAAAAATGACTTTGGTGTAGAATAAATATAGTTTAGTGAACTTCGCGATTTATAAATAGCATTTAATGACAATAATTTCAAAGCAATTTCAATTTTTATTTGGATAGTTCTAATTAGCTTGGATTGTTGTTTAAAAAAATTATAAATAAAATATTGTTCAAGTTTATTTTAAACCAATTTCAAAACTTGTTTGTTTTCTATATTCTTACCTATTGTTGGTAAAATACTCCCGTCATTTTCAATTTTACCAGTTTCTTCCTTTTTCATTTTATACAATCCTATACATAAAACTATTAAAGGAAGAGCTAAAAAAAGAATTTTCTTCTTGCCCTCTGTCCTTCCTCCGTTGCATGCTGACCTTTTTGGACACATGGAGTAGCAATCACGTGAGAATTATCCAAGAAAATAACAGGTTGGCGGTAATGATATTGGCGAAAAAAATTGTTATTTACTAGTCATTGTTCCACACCTTCAAAACACAGAATCGTTCCAAATGAAAAATTTAAAATCGTTTGCAGTCACACATAAACAAAATATTCATGACAAATTTTCTATCGAAAAGAGTTCGGAATACCACTTAACCAAAAGCTGTGAATAACAACTTTGACGATTGTTAGAAACGATAAATTAGGCATTGTTTTCTACCTAGACTTGAAGCACTTCTATATCTACCTCTTGATTCTTAAGATAAAAAGAACCATCAGGTCTATATATAAACAATAGATGAATTTATTTGTGCATTATTTATCGTTTGAAGAAAGATTTTGATGTTAGTTGGCAACTGTTTAACAAAACGTTATCGGCCTCTGAATGATTTGTGAACATGAGTATTTAGTTTTTGCTTTCAATTGTATTGACGGTTCATATTTTACGATTATAATTATTAGATATTTCGCTGTTTCATATTTTTAATTCAATATAATAAACTAAAGTAAGAAAACACTCGAAATTCTTAACCCGTTTAGGGTAAACCTTCCAGTGTACTTAAAAATTGACAATTTAGTTCTTACATTTTTGAAATTTATATTGGAGGAACAAAACATTCGTGTTTACCATGATATAAGCATCGGTATTTTGATCTGAAATTAGGTGAATCGTTTGTGTTTTAAAACAAATCTGTGATGTTTTAAAACAAAAATGGGTGCTAATGCTACAAAATATGAACTTAGAAAAAATTACTTCTAACTATTTCTATAACTCAAGGCTCCCAAAACTCCACCAAAAGAATTAAACGTGATTCAGTTACCTTAAAAATTTAGATGATCAATAAGCAAAATCGTCAAAAAAAGTATGTTTATTCTGAGAAAGTACATTACCGTAGCTTATTTCATAACTTACTTTGTAGATGCACTAACTATTTATGTCTGAGGTATTCTCTTTGTACCTTTAAGATTGGCGCTTAGTACGCAAAAATACGATCAGTGGAGCAAAAGTTATTCAGAGTTCTTTTTTTTTAGTGGCTCAATGCACAACCGTGCCTTACTTATCATCTAAAATTTTAAATGTTTTACTAATTAATTTAAATTGAACTAATACAATGATTTTGAAATAAAAGGTTTTTTTTAACACCAGTTAAAGACTCAAACATTACTAACCTCTGAAGAAAAATAATTTAAAAAATAAAGCAGGTAGGGGAAGAAGGGGTTAGTATAGACAAATTCAATATTTGTGTTATTTATCACTCGAAATTTCTCAGTAAATTTCGACAGGTTGGCAAAACTGTGCAACCTTTTCATATGTTTTAATTAAAAATTCCCAACAAACTGAAGGGGTAAGATATTACTTGATTAAAAGAAAATTCATTCCCTTAAAAAATATACAGAATGGAAATAATAGCTCAAAAATAGGAGCCTGAATTCAAGATTTTCCAAACCAAAAGTGATCTTAAATATAAAACTTTGAACCTGGCAAGTCATTAAAATGGGCGCCTATTTTTGAGTGTTTGAAACACGTTGACAACTATTTCCAATCTGTATATTTTTTTATAGCGAATGAAGTTTTTGAATCAAGTCATAGGTAGTCACATGAGCAGCGATGGCTCAGGGGATAGAGCGTTTGCCTTCCAATGAGGTGAACCGACTTCGAATACCAGTCGATACAAATTCCGCATCCGGCTTGCACCGACCACAGTGAAATGAAATATCCTCAGTGGTAGAGAGTTCATGGGTTAAAGTCCTCTTTCCATCAGGCTAACCGTGGGAGGTTCTCGTGGTCTTCCTCTCCATGTAACGCAAATGTGGGTTAGCTCCATCAAAAGTCCATGATCACGTTTACCACTGGGGATATTTTGCGTCAGCACTGTGGTCAGTGCGCGAGTCGGGTGCACAAATTCATATCGCACGCGCTTTATTCCTTGAGACACTACGGCTGTATATTTAGGTCAAAATTAGCTTCATTTCGAAGTTAGTTGCCTTTTTTATTGAAGTAACAATGGACTAAATAATAAGTTTTAATACGTGTCCATACAAGCCTCATAACATGGGGCAAGTTTGGACCAAAACAAATTTTTTTAAAAAGTAATTTAAAAAAAGTATACTTCTGAATTAGCTCATAATATCATTCCAAATAAATACAAAAATTCAAATTTTAATGAAAATCTGCTAAATTTATTCAAAATAATGATTAGTAAGGTTTTTTTTTTTTGCCTATTTATAAGAACTGTCCACCTTAGCCCACACACCCCTTAATTTTATTTTTTTTATTTATTCATTTGTACCTTGTCAATAACATTAGGATTCAATAGAAAAATATAAGATAAACAATTCTAAAATGAAAAATAACTAAATAAAACTACAAAAATAAACATTTAAAAAGAAAAAAGAAGAAAAAAAAACATACTGACAAGGAAGCTAGAGGCGACTAAAAACTCAAGAAGGGGGATTAATAATTAGCAAAAATCTATTAATTAAAAAGAGGCTAAAATTAGCAACTTATACTGGCATTGTTCTTTCAGTTTCCAATTGAAAGAATATTTAGAGGTGGTGTTTATTTTTAAGCCTGAATAATTTTCAATGTAAATCATGGTAGTAGTCAAGATTGAATAATTAAATAAATAAAGATGAACTGAATTTTTACTACTTCCTATATTTTTAGTCGCCCGTGGCATTCCTGTACTAAGCATTATTTACGTTTTTAATTTTATTAGTTACTCTATTGTATATGAATTCTTTCCATATGTCTCTCAGAAAAAAAAAACGGTAATTTCTTCTAGAACTTAGAAAAACAGCAAAACAAAACGATAATTAATAAAATGTTTTCGACATCCGTGTGGCAGCGTAAACAAAATAACATCAGTCATAAAAATAAATTAAATTTCCTGTCACCGTAATGTGTAATGCAATCGTGTGGTTGGCATCACGTCTTTTCGAATCCCGGTTACTACCTTCTGGTTTTCGAATATCCGTTTAACGACTTAGAATAAACAGCCTTTCCCATCCCATTATTCGGTAGTAATTAGAGATAATGGAATATTAATTTTACCTCCCCTTTCTTCTCATAGAGTGTGTGGCTTAGCTGGATCAATACTTGAAAGAGCTCTATTAGTATCGTTTGGCTCTTAACACGAGAGAAGGTCATTATTTTCTCGCGTTATAACAAATGATTGATTTATGCCTTCTCATCTAATGACACTGGATAAACTAATTCCCTGATGCCTCGTTATAGCACTCTTAAATTGCATCAACGGTGGAATGAAATTTTTCAGTGAAATATGCTTAGAAACGATTTATATTATTTTTAGTTTGTTGCAACTATTAATAGGAAAATTAATTTACAAGACGATGTTAAACTGAAACAAGAAGCATAAGACAGAAACGAATGTTCAGAAAAAATTTGTTCCTGTTCACTAATTCCCTGTTGCTTCGTTATAACACTCTTAAATTGCATCAACGGTGGAATGAAATTTTTCAATGATATATGCTTAGAAACGATTAATATTATTTCTAATTTGTTGCAACTATTAATGGAAAATAAATTTACAAGATGTGTTAAGCTGAAATAAGACGTAATAAACTAAAAGACAGAAACGAAAGTTCAGAAAAAATTTCTTCCTGTTCATGGAAGATGAAGAGAAAACGATCTTCGTCGCAGAAGCTCTACTAATGTAAGTAATTCTTATACGCATGTACCTATACATAACCTTCACATGAGCTACAAGATGCTTCAAACTCAATATCAATAATTAATTAACATTATAACAATATTGTCTAAACAATAACGTTAAAGTTTAACAAAGAATATGATCCACCTTGACTGTAATGCAGGCCTCAGAAACGAAATCTCATGTTATTTGCGAGGTTGTGTATAAAGTCTTGGGACCATGAATACCACTATGTTACGCCAGCTCCTCGGACAGGGTCTATGATATTCAGGTCTAGAAATTCGTCTGACCTCTCCATTTCCTGAGCAACTTAGGCTACTCGGTGTTCCTCGACCAACCAAGCCCTCAATGGATGCACGCTGACCGGGGATCGACGCCTCAACATAATCTTAAATAGGGCTACGTCTGAGAATTTATGGTATCTTCCTGACTCTCATGAACGTAGATGGATTTGTCTGAACTGGTACTGATAATTATAAACCTGGAGCAGAAGCAGGCTTTGTTTTTCCCACTGATGAGTTTCGAATTAGTTTGATCATTGATTTTCATCAAGTTTAAATGTGACCAGAAGAATGGACCCAGTACCATTCTTCCAACATCATGGAGTCCGCAGTGGACTGATCATAAAGAGTCGGTTCCCAGTAGAGCACCGAAGTCACGCATCGCTGACTGCGATCAGTAAGTGGTTCGGAGACCACTTTGATCAGCCTGCGTAAGGACCGAGGGTGTGCGGTATCGGTCCTCGTTAAACTGTTCAACTGTAATGTGCTCGATTTCGCGTGCAGGTCTTCGGACTACCAAAGCAGGGGAGCCATCTCCTTTGCAGAGGATCAAAATTGCGATGGCATGTCTTTGGATCATCCTCAGGGATGTTTCTCAGAGCATCGCCTATAGCCCATTGTGCAGCTCTAGTGCGACGTAAATAAAATACCTACCTACCTACCTATCCAGCATCATGGAAGTGAACCAATGTGCAGGTCAAGGTGCTTTGTTCTTAGTCGCACTGACCTGCATCTCTTTTGGAGAGGGACTTCTCGGATGCAAACGGTCGAGATCTTACAGCCCAATGAAAGATAATTCAGAGAGTCACTCAATTGTCTCTGAACAATGTTCTGGGCCTTGGTAAGGGATATAAGACAATGCACGCCCACACAGGGCTGGTTTTACGAGATATACCCAAAAGTCGAAAAAAATTTAATATTAGAGTTGCAAGCCAGATCTTGAGATCTAAATACCATAGAGCAGAGGTGTCAAACTCAATTTTGCAGAGGGCCATATATTAAATTTAGAATATGTAGGCGGGCCAGATGCAAATAAAAAAAATATACTGAATTATTATAAAATTTTCTTTGTCTAATTATATAGTTTATAATATATGGTTGTTAAATAAATGTTTATAAAATTATAAAAGATGGTAATTATTTTGAGCTCGAGGATAAAGATACCTGACTTCTCTTGTTTCTAACAAGCTCATTGATGTCCGGTTTCATATTTGTTATAATTATTTTAAGGAGTGATTGGAGATGTTCATTCGTAAGTCTTGCGCGATGTTTGTTCTTATTTATTTTCATGACGGAAAACATCTGCTCGCATAATTAGGTACTACCAAACATGCACAGAATGCGTGCTGCATGCTTTTTTAATTCTGGATAGTTATCCAAACACTTGAAATATTGTGTATAAAATGTAAGAGCGTTAACCTCTTTAAATTTTTCTTTCAAAATACTGTCTGATTGAAGATTTATCAACTCCATTTGCAAATGAACTGGTGTCTGTGAAGCTTCAAAATTGAATGGATTGTTGAAAATTGGGAATTCCGCTTCATTCATTTTGTGGAAGTCTTCAAAGCGATTGTTGAATTCCGTGATAAGATTTTGCAGAAGTAGAGAATATTGATCCAATTTTTTTTGTTTCACTGTGCCAAATTATTTCAAATGAGGGAAATGGTCCAAAGTTTGATTTTTTACCTGATTTTTCCACAGCCTCAACTTTGTTTCAAGGGCTTGAATACATGAATACATTTGAGTGACAATCAGATTTTTACCCTGTAACTTTACATTCAGATCAGTCAAGTGTTAATTCATATCTACCAAAAAGGCACAATCAATCCACCAGTCATTGTCATAATCAATTGGGTTGCCTTTTTCTAACATGAAAGCTTGAATAGGGTCACGAAGGGAAAATATCTTTCTAAAACTACTCCTCGACTGAGCCAACGAACTTCAGTGAAATAAGGGACATCAAAAAAATTTTCGTCCAAATCTTGTAAAAACTGCCTGAACTGTCGGTGATTTAGTCCTCTGCTCCTTATAAAATTTACTATTTTAATTATAGGTTGCATGATATGGTCCATTTTTAAATGTTTGGATGCTAATGAATCCTGATGAATTATGCAGGGAAATCCCACAAAATTCCCTGATGCTTTCTGTTTTAATTTAGTTACAACTCCCGAATGTTTGCCTGCCATGGCAGGAGCGCCATCCGTAGTTGTGCTCCTAAGTATATTCCATTCGAAGATTTCGCTTGTTGCTAAGAAATGGCGTTACTGTCTCTCGCTTGTCTAGGCACGCGCTGCTCTTGAAATTACACAGTCCAGTCACATTAATGTGACCACCACCTACTTTTGACGTCAACGTGAAATAATCAATCACAGAGTGCAGGTGGCAGCACATTACAGTGTAGTGTATATATTGGATGTCCTAGGGCATCGAAAAGCATTTCAGTCGTTGGCGCAATGCAGAAAAGTAGCGATTTATCCGACGTCCAAAAGGGAATGATTATTGGCTTTCGGGCCAAGGGTGGAAGCATTTCGGAAACGACTGATTTTGTGAACTGTTCGCGTGACGCCGTGGTAAAAGTATACCGTGCATGGCAAAATGGCACTATACAAAACAAACGGCGAGGCACATGTGGTGCACCACGGGCTAAAGATGGCNTTGTAGCTAAGAAATGGCGTTACTGTCTATCTCTCTCGCTTGTCTAGGCACGCGCTGCCCTTGAAATTACTTATAAATGTAGTGTGCACATTTTAAAACTTCCGTAGAGGAATCGAGTGAAGTCTAAAAAACACGATTCTTCTTTTTGTGATACATCGTGATCGCGGGCCGTATTGATACGAACCGGGGGCCGGATGTGGCCCGCGGGCCGTATCTTTGACATGACTGCCATAGAGCATTAACAGCTGGTCACCTTCTTTCAAGTGAGCTAGAAACCGAGGATAAAAAATGCTTTAATGGAATGGTATTTATTGTGCCAAGACCTTGCAAACAGTTCATTGTGAGAGCGGTTTAATGTGGGGACATACCCCATATTAAACCCTCCACAAGTTCCATTTTTCAGCAACATTTTTAGACGATATTGCTGTGCTGTGTCATTACCTTTTTGTTACTATAGTTTCATACTTAGAAGATTTTTTACTGTCGATGTATTTTTGATTTTGTTTACTATTTCTTAAATTGTAGGTAAAAACGTGTTTGTTCCTTAACTTTTTATCTGCGTGTATATTAAACTCGTTAGAAGATTAAATTAAAATTCTTTTAATGAAATAAACTCGTAAACATAAGAATTATTCTGTTTTTTACGCTTGTTGCCATAGTTGACTCCGAAACAATATTACAATTATTGAGACTTTTAGAACAAGCTAAATAGAAACAGATGTTGGGAAAAGTGACGTGTTTAACCGGAAAGATGAAAGTACAGGAGAACGCATGAACTCTATTGGTACTTCCATGCACGTACTAGTAGTATTTATTATGCATGTAATAGGACAAGAGATTAAATTTCAAAGTGTCCGGACTTGTGGGAAGGGAGATGTTAATGGCATGCATCGGCTGGCATTTATTTGACTTTAGTTACAGATATCGTTTTTACGTGTGCTCTGGATTTTTTTCATTCTTGTAAATATTTATTTAATATCAGTATTAGATTTTATTTTCATGACTTTGACACTAAACGAAATTATCATAAAATTGTGGGAATTATAAAGAATACTTATATTTTGAAGAATTTTAATAATTGAAATAAATATTTATTTAGTCGTATGCATCATTCATTATTACAGTAACAAAATTCTGTCTACACTCGCATCATTTATATTTATTACCTCAACAAAAAAAAAATTAACCACAGTAGTATTGTTTCTTCCACTTTTCTTCACCATCAGAATTTTTTTAACGAAATAAACTCGTAAGAAAAGAATAGTCACATTTCTTTAGTTTAAAGCCACTCTCAGACCTGGCAACTTCTCTGGATTTTTGCTGCAGAAAGAACACCCGCGAAACCAAACATGAACAGATTATTGACTTGAAAATGTCATCGTTAAATTAAAGCAACATTTATATACATACAAGGTCATATACGTTACTTACCGGTGGCCTAAAGTTGGCTTACTTATTATCAGAAACTTTATATGCGTTTGTGAAATATATGACTTAATTTATAAAATCCAATCTTGATTTAAATTTGAAATTCTGCTAGAAATAGATATTATTTTTTGAGTTTAATAAAAGAATGAATGAGATATTACTAAGGGAAAGGAGGAGACAATTCAAAAAACGTTTCCAAAAAAAATAAAAATAAATAAAGAATCTGAAAAATGTAAAAGTAAGAGAAATTTATCTTTCTCTCAAAAATTGGTTTAATACTAGATTAAAAAATAACTTCGTAATATTCACTTCTATGAACTTTTGTAAACTCACGGTCAGCTGGAGAAATATGATTAGATAAGGTTATTGAAAGAAAGGAATATTCTTTACATATACAACTCAGATAACTGAAACTAATCAGAATATCTTGCCAAAAAATAATAAGTCTTGCGAATACCCTTTCGAATATCATAAGTTACTCACTAAAGTTACTTCGATGAAATAGTTTCCTTCATTAAAACTACAAAGTAAAAAGAAGAGTGCGAAGAAAAAGAATGAAAATCGAGCAGGCACTGATTGAAGAATATGAGAAAAATGGCGCAATTTGTCTCCGAGGTGTGTTCGACGAAAATTGGATTGAAATCGTTCGTGCCGGTATAGAAAAGAATTTGAATGATCCAAGTTGTTACAGCGAAAAGTTAAAAGGTGAAAAGGGGAACGGTTATTATTTCGACGATTATTGTAATTGGAAGAGAATAGAGGAATTTAAAAAATTTGCACTCGAATCTCCAGCTGCTGCGATTGCTGGAACATTGACAAGATCTGAGGTAACGTAATCTTATAATTATTTCTTGGTTTAAGTTACAATTGTTAGATAGGGATAAATCACGTTTTTAATATTTTTCTTGCATCTTAAAAAAAATTTGACAATGTTTTTTCTTCGTTTTTTTTAGTAGAGTGATAATGGTGCAAAATATTAATAGTGAGAAAATTTATAATTTGGATTCAATGTTCTCACAATATTAATGATCACGTAATTGGTTTCATTTTTTATCTACTTATATGTTATCTACTTATACTACGTTTATCGACTTATACTCTACTTATTGAAAAGAAGAACGGATAATTTAGATCAAATGATAGCAAAAATGAGAAACTATTCATTACATATAGTTAAAAATTTGCTACCACATTTTATTGTGTAAATCCTTCTTTTTTATATGTTTTGATACACAATTTTTATTAAACATATTTTTATACTTTTTCATTATTTTGTATAAATTTCAATCAAAATAAGTGAAAAATTCCTATTTAGTATTTTAATAATTTTGTTATAAATTACAACATGACAACAGATTATAGTAAAATTTAAAACAATGACTAACACTTGACCAATCAGAAAATTATGTTTTCGATTTCTGTTTCGTTCATCCCGCACGGACGGTTCATCGTAGAATGTTCTAATGTCAACAGTGACCTTCATCGTGCTTCGAACTATCTGTATGTCAAATTTCATCTCTTTCGATCTGGTGGTTCAGTAGTCTATAAAAGACACACACACACAGAAAGACATACAGATAGTAATTTTTATGATTATTATTGATAAATATTTGAATATGAATGAAATAAATTTTCAAACAACTTGTTTTGAATTTTATATTTTAGAACAAACATGATTCCGATAATCTAACATATTTTTATACCTATTAAACTGTTTTAATATTTGTAAAAATACCGAAATAAATTTTTACTTGTAATTAGAACTTCAGAAGAAATATATATAAAAAAATTGAAACCGTTGTCCCATTTGTGTGAAAGGCTTAAAATCATTCTACAGAAAGAATTCCGGTGCTATTATACAATTATATACCATAAATTACATCACACTATTACACAGTAAGATGTTAAAATTTATCAGCAAAGTTGCAATCTAATATGCTTTTTTTTATATTCTTTAAATGGATAGTTTTTATGTATGATTTAATGAATATAGGGTTTATAAGAAACATTTTTTAAACTACAGTAACAGAAATATTTATTATTTTTTTAAAATGTTTTTCATCAAATAAATAATAAGCAGTTTTAATTTTGAAGTTTTTTTCTAGATATCTAATTCGAAAGAGTTTTTTGTTCTTTTTTTCTTTCTATGAAAATTACGACTTTTAATAATATTTTTAAATCAAAAGTTTTAAATCTTTCTTTTTTTATCTTTACAATTGAATTTGATTTGGGATTAGTACAAAACTAGTGGGAAGTAGAGCATACTGATAGAAAGTTTTATAAGGTATATCAAAAAGTCCTACATTTTTAAATCAAAGGTTTTAAATCTTTTGTTTTTTATCTTTTAAAAATTGAATTTTAGTTGGAATTTATACAATTCTGAGCGGAAGTAGAGCATACTATTAAAAAATATTATAAGGTATATCAAAAATTCCTATATTTTTAAATCAAAAGTTTTAAGTCTGTTGTTTTTTTATCTTTTTAGAATTGGAGTTGGAACTCGAATAAAACTTAAAGATAAAAGAGCATTCTGATAAACAGTTACATAATGTATATCAAAAATTACTCAACCATTACAGATATCAGAATTTTAAAGATCAAATACTACTCTTAAGATAGATGTAGAAACTAAACATTACAACATAAACATTACATTAAGATAAACATTACATATTATATGTGTATATGTGCATGTAGGATTTATTTCGTTATTAATTCAAAAAAATTTCCTTCCAGCACATTTCTCCCAATAAGAGGATTTTTTATGCTTAATTTGATTAATTATCTTTTTTTTACTAAACATTACATTCCTTTCAATATTTGGTGAAATTCGTTTAAAACCCAATTTTCACAAGAGAAGCAACATTTATAACTTTAATTCTATCTCAGCTTTCTTGAGAAAAAAAACTTTTAGAACTTTTCTTTTTAATAAGTTCAGAAAAAAATTCTCACTTGATAATTCAGTAAGCTTTTATCTCAGTAAACACTTTTTTCACAGAATGTTTTAGAGCTGATTTAAGTTTAATATTTCCGCCCCCCTTATTAATTTCCTATTATTATCACCTGTTCATTATTATCAACAGTGAAACATTATTCCTTGAATCCTCATGCCAAGAAGAATTAAATTGTCATGATTTATATACTAGTGAATTGGAATTGTATTTTTGTAGTGGTAGACACACTACCCGCTTATTGGGAATTTTCTTTTTCGTTCAATTTGCCATGGATGACAGCTAGCTTTCTTTTCTTAGAAAAATATTTTACTGTAGAATGGACTGAAATGAGTGAATGAGGAAGAAGGAAATGTCAGGGAAAAAAAAGATTTGATTAAAATATTTTCATTAAAAGGATAGTTTTATGAAAATTTTATTCAAAAAAGATAAATAAAAAAATAAGTTTAAAAAATTAGAAAACCCTTTACGATAAGACAAAAATTTTCTCGACGAATGTTTTATAATATTATCTTTTAAATTTTTTAACTAAAAAGTTTAAACAGAAAACATGTTAAGCATTAGGAAAAAGTTAAACAAAAACCTATCATGACAGACTCAAGATTGAAACTGGGAACTCTTCCCACCACAATGAGACATCCATCTAGGCTAATATTACTTATTAAATTAAATTATTTTACTTTCGTTAAACTCACAATACTTTTTTTATGTATTAATATTTTTTTTTTAAATTATGAGGCTTCATCTTTGCTCGCTCTTTTCATAACACTATATCATACCACTCTTCCCTCACTAAATAGATCTATATTTATCAAACATTTGTCACATTTTTGGAAACTACTAATTAAGAAAAAGTACAATTGGGCAAAAATGTAGAAACACATCTATTCTAACTTTATTATATTTCTTTTATAATAAAATAATAGAGTAATTAATATTTCTTTTAGTAATAAATGTTTTGGAAAATTTTACACGGCAAAACCATTGGAACAATTTTAAAGATCTTGTTTGAAGCTCTTAGAAATGGTCTTTCAAATCATTCTGCTGAAAGAAAAACTGTATACACAGAGTTAGAAGTGTTTTCATAGCTTTGTTTGTTGTAGGAGCGATATTTATTAAAATTTACCTGCATTTTTAAATGCTTCTAATAAAAAAAAATCCATAAATATTTTTTAACATGGGAGAGATCAATCAAATATTAGCTACATGTTAGAAAAATGACAACCACAAGCATTTTTTTTTAAATATTATAATACTTCAACGCATGAAAATTTTAATTGTTTAATTCTCTCAAAAAAAATTTTTTAATGATTTATTGTTCCCTCAACATAGGGTGTTTCGTTGAACTCCGGAGTTTCTTTCTAACAAGATGTTACGGTAAAACGGACTACGGCTTCAGTCACGTAGAGAAACAATTAGGGATCAATAACTTGTCGGTCCTCTTGCATTAATCGTCCACAGTTAATTCTGATGTATTGGCAAAGCTTTTCCGACATCATTTCCGGTCTACTCCCCTCCCCCCTCTTCCTTCTAACTGATCGATTCTATCTAAAGAATCCAGTTAAAAGCAAAGCCATTACTTCGGATGGAATACTAAGCTCTGGTGATGATAGCTATTATGTAAATGAAATATTCTTTCGACAACAATTTTTTGGGATTATGATGATGGTTAAGTTCGAGTATTTCAGGTTCGCAAAAGCACAACAAACCATCAAAGAACTATTTTACTTACAAATCGAATTAAAGTTGTTTAATTTTGGCATTTATTTAGTGCAGGTGTTGCCATGAAATCTGATTTATTCACGTTTTCAGAATTAATTTGATGGATGATTTATATTTCTAAATAGTGAAACTTTTAACAAAGACATTTGTTTTAAGGGGGGGATGAATGGTTCTTATATTGGTCACATTTTCCCATTCTTATGTGCCTGAGCTAAGCCACATCAAAAAGTTACATCTACTCGTTGCAACAACTGGAAACACCTTTCTGTGAACTCAACATCCTTGCCATGACAGGCGGAAATGTGTTTCTTTTTCTCCCCCCTGAAATTCCCTCTTTCTCTCTGTCATTCACACCCTCTTTAGATGTAATGACGACCGAAAAGGGAATCCGGATAAGTTCCTATCTTACTCAAGAAAAAGACTAAGACATAACACACAAGCGTTAGTGATGGTTGCGAGGGAAAAGGAATAAAAATAAATCGTTTGCTCTTTTTCTTGTTGCCACTGGTAGGCAAAAAAATAATTATAGTTTATAAAAACTCATGCTGCCACAGGGAACTAATGGCTAAAAAAGAAAGTGAATTTATATTTTATTCTTTTTTTAACCCTAGTCTGATGGGATTCTAATATAATAATATAAATAGAATTATAGTTTTCTGAGAAGATTTTTTATCCATTAGAGCTCGAGTGGGAGTCATTGATTGAAGAAGCAGCGGAAAAAGAGGGAACTTTAATTACTTTTTTTTGCAAATAATGTTTTTTATAGCTTGTTATTATGGTAGATGAGGTGAAAGATGTCTTTGTAAACCTTGAAAAATGCTGACAGATTTCGCTAAGGAGGTGCCTTGCAAAGCATGTTTCAATAGAAAAAATAAATATTTTTAAAAGTAAATAATTTATCAACAGAAAAAAAAATACTGTTTTTGAATTGAAAGGAGATTATTCGCAAACTATATTTTTAGTTCCTGTTCTGTGTTCATAATGATTAACTTTGGTTAAAAGTTCGTAAAGATTGTACCAACTTCAGACAGTCTCACAAATGAAGCTTCCGTTATAAATATTAAAATTGAAAATAATGGCATTGTAAGTGACTACTCTAAACCGGTTGAAAACGCGGAAATGTTCCCAGACCTAATGCGTTTTCGAGCTGCGTG